CTCATGAGATCTGCGGTGCTGAATTACTTTTTTTTTTCTGTAGCTGGTGAAACTGTAACAAAGCTGACTGATTTTAAAGTTATTAGTAACGACACTAATTTTGTGCACAAGTAGGATATGAAAATGCATTCAGAAAAAAACAGGAAAAATTTGAACCCTAAATTGTTACTTTTTACTGAAAAGTTTTATTCGTCTGGTTGGATCTAAACAGCTTGATTTATCATGTTTGAGCTGCATTTCAACTTCTGCATTGGGGATGAATTACTGCTGGTAAGTTTAAGACATTCATTATGTAATAGCCTCTAATTACTGCGCTCTTTCGTGTGAGGTAAAATTTATATTGTTGTACTAAAAGAGGAAATTTAAACACATTAGTGCTTCTGGCTGTTACTTTCTTCATACATTTTTTGTTATGGCCAAGTTTATGAGTAATTTCCTTTATGAAACAATCATTTGTTCTCATAGCTATTGACGAATAAGCCAGATGACTGGAAACGGAAGGTTTTTTTATATGCTCAGTAGTCGCAGAAGTAAAATTTTCCACATAAATCGATAGGTACTAGTGTGAGCCAAACGACAGGAACGCCATCAACAAATACCTTCATAAATTTCACTTTTCACTCTCAGAACCTATTAAATGTAAAGTAATCCTCCTACTTTCCTGTTAAATGCAGATGGAAGCACATTGGCTGCGTTTTTTCCCCGCACAGTGTATGATTTTTTTATTTTTTATTTTCCAATCAGGCTCTACACATCTGCATGTTCCTGCAGGTTCTTGCTGTATGTTTGCAGAAATAACCCTACATAAGTCAGTTCAGCACCAGAGCACCATGTAAGCGCTGCTGTTAATTTCCTAAGAAAACAAACATTTTGGATGCATCCACTTTTGCTGAAGGGAATGAGATATGACTCACCAGTATGTTTCAGTCCCCTCTTTGTTTCTTAAAATAACTGTGGCAGCTTCCAAACAAAGCACCCTAAATGTACTGGGTCTAAATGGCCCAACCTAAGTAGACTGTGTAGCACTCCTTTTATAGGTAGGCGTCTAGGTGATTATGTAAGTGTGTTCGTGGTCCTGAAAACATCATCCAAACTCGGGAGCTCTTGCCTTCATAAGGCAGTTCATACGCTTTGTTTTGGAGTAAGGTTGAACTTAGAAGATGCCTTAAGCCTGTACCAACAGCTTAGTGCAGAGACTTTATCGTGTTGTTTTATTAAGCAGTTTGTTGCAGCTTGTTTCCTGCTTTGCTCATCCAGCTTGTTGATAGGTTTTTCTTTCTTAATATGTGAATGTTACAGGTTTCTGCCATTCTTAATGTTAGTTGTACAGCTAAAATGTTTAAGAGGCATAATTTTCCACTTTTTCTTAAGTTTAGTTTATTTATAATAAGGAAAAAAGTATAATTGCATATGCTTTTATACAATATTAAGCTTCCACATTGCCAGTCTTCACTTGGTGGTAATTCTCGGAAAAAAAAATTCTTTAAACTTTTGCTGCTTCCCCTTCCTTTTCTTTTCATCCACCCATATCTGTATGAACATTTTCAGATGAGCATTGACAAATCCTGTCACTTTAGGTGTTTCTTTTCCTTTTATTCTTCAATGTCACCATAGTAAGTGAGGATGTGGTCATTTCTTACTTCTGCATTTATTGCACTCTTACTTAACGTTTTCAGGTGCCAAAAGGAGACCTTTGCAGGCGATATTTTGCAGCTATCTCTGCACCAGAGATGTTTTATACTGTTTGACAGCCAGTGATTTGGCCACATAGGCTCTACAGCAATGCTTCCTAACGCTGGTCCTCGGGGGACACAGTCCTTCATGTTGAAGATGTGTCTGCTCCAGAACTGATTAAAATAATTGCATTACATCTCCAACATGCCCTCAAGTGCTGCAGAAGCCTGTTAATCATGCTTTCATTCATTTAAGTCAGCTTTTTAGCAGCGGGGAGACGCCCAAAACATGCAGGACAGGGGCCCCCAAGGACTAGAGTTAAGAAACTTCTTTAACGATTCAATTCAGTTTTCTATTTAGCATTTTTTATATAGGGCCCAACCTTTTTGCTTATAGGTCAGTGTTTGCAGGCTAGATGGGGACTATGGGGTTATAAAGGCTGAGCTCCAGATTTGCTGAAGATTGTCAGCAGTCTAGAATAGACTTTGAATCAGCTAATTTATTCGCTTATTCTATTTTTTTACGTTCCTTTTTTCACTTTGAGTCTCTCATTACTAACATTGTCCAGACGCAGCACTCTGAATTATGTTTCCTATATCCCATAAAAGTGAGAACTTATATGTGGAATCAGGTTAGGCCCTGTCATTTGAAGGAGACCTGGGGGCTCTATTAAATCAGTGCCCCTCTTTATAAGTATTTTCTCTTTCTACTCCATGAATGTTCTAAGGCATCATAAGCATACTTGAGCTATGAGAAATGTCTGTGGAAAAGCCCCTGTGCTTGATGTGTGGAGTGGTCAGACACAGCACATAATCATTATTGCTCTTGTCAGCTGGCTTGTATTTATGTGTGTGTAGTTTTATGCCTCTACTTCCATGCAATTTGTGGTTTTCTGTCCCAGGATTACTTAATGGAACTGAGTGACTTCAAGCCAACCTGCAGATTTGTTTTCTTTCTTTACCTTTCCACTGACAGCCGTTAGTTTTTCTCAGGGCAATTGATTTAATTAACATTTTTATTGTGTTAGAACTTGTAGAAAGAGATATTTAACAAGTCTAATAAATAGATTTTGCAGAATGACAGCGAAGTTGTCTGTGATAGTTGTGTTAAAGGTTCTTATGAAAATGTACTGTTTTAATTTGATACAGCGACAAACTGTTTTGTCTCTAATTTCCATTTTATTTGACCAAATTTGCACATAACTGTGAGGTAAAGGAAAAAAACATAGATGTTTTTCTCACCTTTTTTAACTAATAAAAATCTTAGAAGTGTGTTCTGCCTGTGTATTCTTACCTTTTTTTATTCAAACTCCCTTAAATAAGTCTGGTTGAAATTGCTACTAATTGCAATAAAGTGTTTGATTTAATTTGAGGCCCTCAGAGTTGAACACATTTCTAACAAATGGCATCATGTAAAAGAAACAAAACAGACAGATCAGGAATAAAGTTCTGAAGCATTTTAAAGTCATTTTAGGATAATAAATCTAACCTAAAATCCTAAAAATATGATCCAACTATGATTCACAGAAGCAACCAAGAGGGCCATAAAACCTCCAGAAGTTCACATCTTGTCTGAGTGAATCTTTGACCGGACAACTGTTCAGGCACAGTCTGTCCTGTAATAAAGAGTGGCAAAGAGAAAGAAGATAGTTTCCATAAAGAAAGCTATATGTCCTATCTGTTTGCCTAAGAAATGTGGAGACGGAAAACATAAGGAAGATGTTTTCTTTTTGAACAGATGGGAAAGAATATGAACATTTTGGCAGGTATGCTGAATGCTTTGTGTGATTACCTTTAGGCATTATCCTTAACATGCGATGGGAGCTGTATCATAATGGATGTTTATTTTAGCAAGAGAAGGAAAGTTAATTAGCTGCAATCCAATTGAGCCAAATATTTGAAGAAAACCTGCCAGATTTTCACTTTCCAGCAGGAGAACAACCCCAAACAAGCCAGAGTTAAATGTTTAGATCAATGTTTTAGATGGGCCCAAAGACCTCACATACTCTGTGGGATGACTTGATCTCTGCCGTTATTTTCTAAGTCACTGGGCCGAGCTTGAACTGTTTTTGAAAATGTGCAGCTATATTAAATATTACTGGTACAGATTTCATATCTCATGTATTTTCTTGCCATTTAGACACCATGAAAACCAACCGCGCTGTGGACATTGTTTCTTTGCTTCATTTAAAAATCCACAACGCTGAGCTGGGGGCTGCATGGTGTTGCAGGGGGTAGCACTGTTGCCTTGCAGCAAGAATGTTCACAATACGATTCCTATCTCAGGGTCTTTCTGCATGGAGTTTGCATGTTCTCCCCGTGCAGTTTGGGTTCTCTCCGGGTACTCCAGCTTCCTCACAGAGTCCAATAACATGATTGATAGGTTAATTAGCTTCTTTAAATTGCCCTTAGGTGTGAGTGTGCATGGTTGTCTGTCGTTGTCTGTCTCTGTGTTGCCCAGTGACAGACGAGCGACTTGTCCAGGGTGTACCCCGCCGGAGTTAGGCACAGGCCCCACCGCAACCCTGACAAGGACTAAACGGGAGTAGATGGATATACGTAAACCCTGAGCTGCATCACAATCACTGACACATAACCTTACAAATACCACATTGCTTATTCCTTCCCCTTCTTCTGATCAAAAACCGAAACTAGGTGAAAATAAATGTCAAATACCGTTCCACTTTTACTTATGTGACCAAAATTGATGTACTTAAAAATTAACAGCTGATATTAATGGCAATATATTGAGCATCCCTAAATTTTTGCAAAGTAGAATTTCCAAATATTTTGTAAATGTAAAAAGATGGGCCCTTTTTAAGATTTCCATTTGTGAAAAATGTTGAAAGCAGTGAATATTTTCCTTTTCTATCACTGTTGTTTACTACTTGGCAAGTTATAAAATCAAAAAAGAAAAGGAGAAGTTCAATAATTTTGAATAATTTAGAAAGGCACTGTGTTTATTTATTAAAGAATGCACATACAGTATTTCTCAGGCTCTGGTTCTGTTTTGGATGTTGAGTCATTGTGAGTTGCGTTTGTCCAATGCTATTATAAGTTCCAAATCAAGCAAGCAATAAACTTGGCTTATAAGGTTATTTTTATGTCTGCCTCTCACTCTTTTTTTTTTTTTTTTTTCCATTCTCACCCGGCAACATTTATTGGAATAAATGTTAAATCAGAATCTTGTGTGGTTTCATGAATTTTTGGAGTTTGCTCACTTTTTGAAAAGAGAAAATGTCAAAGTTCCACAACTGTTAAGTCAATCATCTTAAATTAAGCAGTTGAGTAAGATGACCTAATGCTGTTTTCTTTCTTTGTTTGCAGCATTGTCATGGTTTTTGGGTGACCATTGCTGTCCAGGGAGCGTCGACTGAAAGCCAAAAACCAGATTAGTAGAACAACTTGGCTTGAATCTCATCACCTAAACAGATCTGAGCTACATAATGGAGGCAATAGACACCTTGCAGAGCTCTGCCCCAGAGACGAAGGCTGAGCGGATTGCTCGCTACAAGGCAGAGAGAAGGAGGGAGTTGGCGGAGCGCTATGGCAACACAGAGGAATTCACCTCTAAATATGTCCGTAGGGACCGGAAAATTGGTGAGACATCTGAAACAGCGTCCTCTGGAATTAAGGAAAGAGACAAACACGAGGATAATGGGTCAGAGGCGACGTACTCCAGGAGGGGATTGAGAAGTAAAACTGCAGACTCCAGTGATGAGGTCACCCAGGAATTGGAGGCAGAGACAAAATCAGAGGCCTTGTCCTCCATAAAGGTGTCTTCTAACTTTAGGTGAGTGCAGAGCAAACACAGATCTCTTTAATGTTTGTGCTGTGCAATCAGTGAAAAAAAGTTTAATAGCTATGGTTAACAAAGCTACAGATGGAGCAGTCCTTTAGAAGGCAGCGTTACGCTGATCCACTCCAAAATAAATTGTTTCACGTTCTTTATTTGAACTTGTGTCCTAAGTTACAGTTGATTTCTATTTGCATGTGGTTAAGATGTTATTGAGTTATGTATAATGGCTTCCTTTTGAGGTATCCCCCCTAGCATTGTGGAGGAAGTCTTTCTATAAACCTAAAACATGTTGCTATTTTCAGGGGAGTGAAGTTCCAATCTGACCCATTAAGGGAGCACTTAGTGCTGTGTGCTGTTTGAAGTAAACACAAAAGAGAAGCTCTTCCAAAAATGGTGATGTGTGCAAACTAGAAGTTTAAGAAAATAATTTCTTCCTTTATCACTGAAATTACACACTTACTGTTTTAATTGAATTGAACAATCCACATGCTGATGGAAGCTGGAGATTAAAAAACTGTCATGTGGAAGACTGAAAGTCTGCTCATTGCTTACTTGAAATGTTCCTGTGGGGTTTGCACATACACAGAGAAAGAGCATGTCCGGTCACAGGTCTGAGGATGTTGCAACTGTAATCAAGTAGTTGACTGTGCTCTATGCACATATCCAAACTTGTCTGATCCTGAAATACTGCCTTAGGAAAAGAGAAGAAGAGATGCTTTGAGACATACTGAGATTTTAGCTCCTAAGGTATAAAAATGTATTGAATACAGTCATGTTATTAAATGGCTGTTATTTAAATAAGTGAGAGATAAACATGCCAGAGGTGGGGAGCATAGTTTCTAGATTGGGTTTAACTCAGAAAGTTGCCAAAACAAAAACTTACTTGAAGTTGTGGTCCTGGAATCTCAAGAACTATTCTTATCTCATGTGATCAGGGTTAAGTTCAGCCAATAAGGGAGCAACAAACCATATCTATTGTAGGAATGAGTTAAAGGCTTAATATGCATGTCTACATTTGTTCCCTCATGTACAAACTCTGCACCAGTCAAATAGTCAAGTGTTTTATATCTGTAACTTGCATGCGGCTGTCCTCTTGGCCAGGTGTTACTTGTAAAATAGATTTTATATCTCAGTGGGACTAACCTGATGAAATAAAAAAAATGAAACTAAAAATAAAACGTAAATAAAAATAATTACAACTTACAGTAGGAAATTGGAACTTTTGACTGCATTAATTAACCATTACAAGCCTATTAACACTATTTTAACAGCTGTAAGCTGGGCTTTGATCAAATATGGTAAGAAAATAAAATGTTAAAAATGAAGCATTTTTTTAATGCAAAGTTTCACAACAAATATAGTAAAATCACCAATGGCACTTTTTATATCTGCTGAGTATGATACTAATGAAGAGGCACATTTAGCATTTTCACTACAATCTGAACTGCATGTGAATCTTATCAAATATTCCCTTTTCCAAAAAATAAGAATTTGTTTCTCAGTAATATATACAAATGCTACATCTTATATTAGGAAAAATAAGAGTTACGTTTGGGCTTATCAATATTTCATTGCCAATATATGTATGTAGTGCTATCATTTTATTTAACAGTTATATGCGTTTTAAACCCATTTCCAGTATTTTGATATACAACACAGTGCCCAGAAAAAGTCTTTGGTTTTAGTGTCTGATGAATGATCCATGGACACAAATATACGGAGGCGTGAGAGATAGTTACCTTTTTATTGTTCTTAGCCTATTTTGTTCATTTTGTTTTGCAATTATTTCTGAAATGGTAGAGTTTCAGTGACATTGCAAAACATAGCAAGTTTGCAGAAGTGTCTGATGGGGCCTGTCTTGTCTATCTTTCTGAGGCTTTCATATTGTTTATATCCTTATTAAAATCATGTCTTATTGAGTGATATTGAGATATATATGATATAAGTTTTGGTCACATTGTCTAGCCCTTGGTTGTGTTGTCTTGTTGATCTTGCATACCTGTCATGTTGGTTTCCATTATTTCAGGTTTGTGACGGTGTTAACTGTATTTAATGACTCTATTGTATTGTCTAATGCAAAAGCATTGAATGCAGAACAAAGAAAAGGAATCCCCTTTAACGGTTAAAAAGAATCAGCTATTATTCTGTTTAATGTCTCTGTTTACTTCATGAAAGGATATTATCTGCCATGTTCTACGATAACTATCCCGAACTAAAGAACTATTACATTTATCATGTTTAATCTTACTATTCCAGGACCTTTCTGAAAGTTGCTGCCATAGTTTATTGTCGTTTTTGTCAACATGTTAAAATAAGTGTTAAAATGTAAAAAGGAAGCTGAGGCCGAGCTTTCCCAGTGACAAGAAAAAACGTCAGCTGATGCGTCATTCCAAAAGCCGTCTTGGCAGTTATTAAAATTTTGCCTCAGTTCATCCTTTTTCAGACCTCCTATATGCCTTAATTGAGACTGCTGTCATCAGGAAAATATGTGACTGCCATAATTCTACAGAAAAGTGCTTTACCTGGAAATTGCATATTCCTTCCTTATTATTGCATATTGGCTTCACTGCTTGCTTTAGTATCTCAGAAAGTCACTAGAAATACACGTCAGGTTTAGGGCAGTTGGAAGGCCATCAAACAGGTCAAGTATGTTACCGATATACAGAGCATGAAGGTCAAGGAATAGTCCTTTCAAGCGGTCCTTTTCAATCGTATTTCACACGAAGATTGCTTGTGATTCTCTATATTGTGCAGCTCTAGCAAAATATTTAGAGTAATAGAAAAATAACCTGGATGTAAGAAATCTTAGTATGGCAAATGTTTTATTTAACAGCAGCAGAAGAAGCTGTTAGTGACATTTTGAAAAGGAGATTCAGTTTTCTGAAAGCGCAGTTTTGTCGACAGCAGTGTTTTATTTTTTAGATTTTTTCTATGAAAGGTAAAAATCTAAATGATGTTAGCAATCCTTTTTTTTTTTTTTCAAAGCATTTAGACTTGTATTTGTGTACAACTTAAAACAACCCCCCCTCCCCTCTGTGTTGTGCTATTTGATTTAATCGTTTGTGTATGACATAATTCATTGGAGCAAATTAACTTCAAGGAGCAGCTGTGGTGGGTTTTTTTTTATGTCTTACTAGGTTTTCTTTCTTTTCACTCGGCGACTCATTCTTTCACTGTAGTTAATTTTGGCAAAGGACTGGTGCATGTTATCCTTTCTCTGTGGCTGATGTCAAAACATGGGTTGAACCAGTGTAACATTGCCCTGTGGTTGCAAATGAGTGTGTTGCATGAGAGACTATAAACTAACACTCTTAGGTAGTAGTAGTTAAAGGGTAGTAGTGTCAAATTATATGCAGTTATTTACCTGTTTAATCTTTATTTTCTTCATACACTTGTATATATTTATTCTATTTTTAGCCATCCTCAAATAGACAAATATGGCACTTGTCTAAGAATAATAGATAAAATGAAACAATTAAAATGAAGTTCAGTTTTATATAGTTTCAGGAATGTGCTCCATCACCGTCAAGACCCCAAATCAAGGAAACTAAAACTACTAGGGCTGCAAATAATGATTATTTTGCAAATCGATTAATCTGTCAGTTATTTTTTTTAATTAATAGCCTAAAAATAGCCAAAGGTTCCCTTAGAGGAGACTTTTTACGAAATTAAACTAGCTGAAACTAAAGCTTTTCCACTTGAGAAGTTCTGGATAGAGCATATTGACATATTTATTTTTATCTTAAATGCAAAGATTTTAAATAACTTTTACAATCTTGCTAAATTTACTGCTTTAAATGGGTCGCTCTGTCAGCTAAAGGCATGCTTTACAGTCTCTATACTCTATTCAACAATCAATTACTACATTTCTTGACGATTATTTTAATAATTGATTAATCTGATTGTTTCAGCCCTAAAAACTACCAATGTAGTATTGCTCAAAGGTCTTCTTGCTTTGTGTATTGTTAATGATAAGTCCTATATGCTTTAATTGATTGGTTAGTTGCTGTCTTTGATGTTTTTAACCTGAAACTTTCTAATGAACATATTTTTTAATTGTTCAAAAGCATCACAATTTCATGCTCTTCCTTTCATTCAGTTTAAAGTTCTATTTTATGAGATTCCAGAAAAGGTGGTGGTGTGAGAAAAGTTTTCCCGACAGTGCCATGTCGAGGATGGTGGTCAGTTAAAGGAAAAAATGTTTCTTTGCAATTTGTCAAAGCCGTTTGGAAAAAAAACAGAGCTACACCCATTTTGTTAACATAAAGCATTTTCTAAACCACAGCTTGCAAACCAGGAGCAGCCAAACGCAGGCTCTCCTCTGACCTATTTATTCATTTGCTTTTGTTTTATTTAACCTTCTTTAACACATTCTCATTAAGATACAAATTCCCATATTAACATGCAAGCTGTTAATTTAACAGTTGTACAGAATGCCACAAATACTGTAAAATACTTCCCTATTAAATACTGCTAAACAACTACTAAAATACTGTGCATGTTAAAACGCTTCATAGGCACAAAAGTCTGGATAATATAATAAGCAACAAGTAACTTCATAAATGCAACTACATTTAGTGGGTATATATTTAATATTCTGAATGCAGCCTATACCCAAATATAAAAGATAGATGCTAGAAGTGCCATTATAGGTGTTTTGTGGTGTAGCAGTAGAGAAGGTTCACCTTATATGGAAGCTATGAACCTACAAGCAGCAATCTAGGGTTTAATTCCTGGTTTTGGGACTTTTTTGCTGCATATCCTTCGCCGTTCTCTTCCTGCCTGTTTCCTGTCTGATTACTGCCATAATGGTGCCACAATAATGATTAAAACACATTTGCTGATTAGTTAGAGAGTCTAACTCTTGTTTTGAATGTATGTTTTATTTTTTGGGCTAATGCTGTGACATGAGTAAACTGTGTCCCTTTTTTTATTGTCATACGATGAGAATCTCTTTCTAGGCCATGTCTTACCTGAACCTATATCAAAGCTTTAAACCCCAATGCTCCTGCCATAATAAGCAAAAAATCACAAAGATTTGGATTTAAATAACTTCAATCATGAAGCCTGGTTCTGTTCCAACTATTGCAGAAGCTTACTGCTCCAAAATGACAGGGTTTCATATAAATACAATTGACTTTTGCTAAATGCTTATGTTGCTGTGTTGTGTTATTAAAACAGTCCATAATAGCTTACATAAAATAAAGATTTTGAATTAACTGGAACTTACTGTTATAAGTAATAATAGAGCTTAGAGCCCTGATTTTGATCTTGCAGTTTTACCACTTCCTGTCCTTCACCAACCTTTCACCCCTCCCAGATGTCCTGTAGGATTCTCCTTTTGTGTCACAAGCATCCCCCTTCACTCCTCCTATTACATCATGCTTGCCCCCCCCGAAACGCAGCTGGCGTCCCTATCCATTTTTAACGGCCATTACTTAGAGATGAATTGCTCCCTTCAGATGCGACACAGAGAAACATGCAAGCATGCAGCGAAACAGGCGCACGGGTTGATGCGTTGAGTGCATATCGAGTGAGACAAATTAAGTGGATAGCTCCCGTTCTTTAGCTTCCAGACGAGCTGGAGCGTGTGTTTTTACATGAGTTGTTTGTAAAGCAGCTGTAAGATTTGTCTTCTTTCTTTCCTAGTTGTAGTTCTAACAGCCATGTGGTTTCATTAATTCATTATGCTTCCAAGCAACCTCATTTATGTCTGCCTTTCTCTCACTCTGCTAGGCTGCTGGAAACCGATGACCCAGAGGAGCATAAGGGTAAGATGAACCCTCTACTTTCACTGCACTCAGATCCTCTATTGTTGCACATGCTGCTTTCCCACTCAACTGTTGCCCATTAGTCAGTCTGAAAGGAACACTGATCTCACTTCTAGATCACCTTATTGAGGCTGGCATTTTAAAAACCTTCCAGTCAACGGAGTGTAACAAATGATTATCCCTCATGATGGTTGTGTTTTGCAATTACAAATAATAAAGGGTAATGTTTGACATTTAGTTTCTAACTATCTGTGCAAATACTAACCTCACTCCCGTCTCTGTAATGAACATCTACCTGTCCTATTTTTATGCACTTTGTTCTGGTGTTTTACATTCATGCATGTTTTACATTCTCATGTTTGAAGTTACTCCTGACGCGGGGTACGTTAGATGCACCACTGGCAGCTACCACTTCTAATCATCCAACATCTGAGCTCATTGTTTTGAATTGCTTTAATTTTCTCAATATGTGCAGTTTGTAGGCTTGTGATGTCAAACAATTCTGCTAAAAGACTGAAACCCTCCATCAGGAGAAACTGGCTCTTAGATGACTTGGAAGAGACATAGGAAGCAATTGAACTTTGGTCAGGATGGGTCTTTGATTACAGTAAACTGGACAGCAATAAACAATTCATGTCCAGGAGGTAATACCCCGTCTGGTTCTCCTTCATCCTGTCCACATAACCATGTGATTAGCAGCTCTGGAGCTGAAAATTAGATTTGTGGGAACTAATATCTGTAGAGGTTTTTACCTGGATGAACCTGGATTGCTCATCTCTAAAACTGGATTAAATCTACGTCAGTGAATGTGACATTTCAGTCAACATGGGAAAGGAGTTAACAATCATTTGCTACCATCAATATTTTGCTGACTGTCACATTTTCACACTGGGTCTTTTTTCTTATTCTGTTAACAAGATATTGAATACAATATCAGTTCCCTGGTTGATTGTATCACAGACAGGCTTGGAGCATATAGTCACTTTATGAGTTGCCTTGTTTTGATATAGAGATACAAATAAAGAGAGTGAGAAATCACAGGTTATAAATATGATTGTAAGCCTTGTATGATTGTAAGATTATTAGGATGAGTGCCACTTATATCAAATGATGCCAGGCTCCATGGACCATATATCATGGTGCTTCACAGGAATCTGAATCATATGACTTTCTCTGTGGAGGACATTATGTCAATAAAGGTTAAAGGTTAGGTTCATGTTTTGGGGAGGGTGGTGAAGTAAAATGTGGGCCATTTTTTTATTTTGGGTTCAGATGTTGGGTATCTTTAGTAAGGTTTGTAGTAGGGCTTAAACAATTAATCGGAATAATTCTGATTAATTATTGAAATAATCATCAGCTAATTTAGTAATCGATTAATCGTTAACTGGAGTATAGCGACTGTAAAATATGCCTTTAGCTGACACTGCAAATCAGTTAGAGCAGAAAAAATACCAAGATTTGAAAAAATATCTAAACATTTTGCACGTCAGGTAAAAAAAAAAAAAAGTTTTTGTCAGTCAATATGCTCTATTCTGAGCTCCTCAAGCAGAAAGGTTTTACTTTCACCTTGTTTGAATTTGTAAAAATTCTTTTTTAAGAAACTTTTGGTTATCCGATTATTAATTGATTATTTAAAGACATAATCTACAGATAATCGATTTGGGAAACAATTGTTTGTTGCAACCCTAGTTTGGAGCCTAATTATTGTAATTAAAAGGGGATGTCTGGATCCAATATTAACATTGATCCGATATTGGCCCAAAAAGTGATATCAGATTCTATTGTCCTTCATCTACAATCTATGACACCGTTATGCTGATAGAAACACTCTTTACTATTCTTCTTTGTTTAAGTTACATAAGTTGATCAAGCCTTTTCTAACATCCCACACTACAAAATAAGTACATGATTCCTGATTATATCATATCAGATCACTACTGAAATTGGTCAAGTCTCAAAGCTGCAATCTCTCGGTGATTTTACTCTATACTTTATTTTACTTAAGGTAATGTAGGTTTTGTTCAAATTAATACCGTCCATGTCTGTTTTGGAATATGCATTTCTGTAAATTACACTAAAACAGAGACATTTAGATAACATTTCTGTATCTTGGTTAACTAATGACATATTAAAGGTATTGTGGTGAATTTTTGCAAAGACCCGTCCTCTCCACTTAAAAAAAGCACATGCACAACCCTGTACCTGCTCAGGAGAGGGAACGCCTATTAAACAGAGCGTGCACGAGCCCATTTCTCCTCGTGCACACTCTGTTTAAAAGTTGCTGTTTGCATCGCTAATACAAGCTTACTTCCCAAAAGATTTGCAATTTTTCCACTATGTGAGACTCGCCAACGGTAAGTGAAAATGGGAAAGAGCACAACGGACGGCCTTATGTAAACATCACCAGAATGATTGACAATAGGAAAGACCACTTATTTTGATGATCCACTCAGAAAAAGAACATCCTCCCCTATTCCATTAATGTTGTGCTTAGAATTGTTCTGAATCATTGCCTGATAAGAGATTATTTTTCTCGCTGTTGGTGTATTCATATTCCTGAAAGAGCTGGTTGACATCTTGGTTTAAGTTTAGGTTAAAGATGTTCACTGCTCCCGGATCTTCTAAACTTCTTATCCAGGATCAGCAACTGTAAACACAAACCCTTTCACCACACACAGTTTGAAACCATTGTCTGTTTTCACTTTTGTTGAAGTTGTGAAGACATCACCTCTGCTCTCAGTCTTATTAAACTGATTTAGAGTATCACCCAATTCTCAGAGCTTATAAGCTTTATATTTGCTTGTATTTTCAGCTCTGTGTCAAAGGTCCATCCAATAATCTCTCCACAGCTCTAAGAGGGCCTTCTTGAAAGACAAATGCACACACTTACTCAATTGTCTGTTAACCTTAGTGGGAGTTTTTTCCATTTGTTTAGTTTTCTTTTCTCCCTTTTCCCTCCAGCACTGGCCTTGAATCACTGATGATCTAAAAGAGAAATACTGGACTGAAGTCAAAACTATGAGTGCAGTTTGAGTGGAGTCACCAGTCTGCAATGCTTAATGTTTCTTCATTTGGAGTAAATCTTGCTAAACTCTGAACAGCAGGGGAAGTTAAAAACATAAATCATTACATGGATGCTCTTTTTCTTTCATCCGAAACCCTTAGCTTTTCAAAGACAGGTTATTATTTTGGGGGGAAAAAAAGATAATCAAGGAAATAAAATAAGATTTACAGAGTGAGATAGGATGAAATTATGGTGAATTAAGAAATTAATGTATTTTGAATACTGTTAAATTTAATGGATTCCTCATGTTCGTATTAAAAGATGATAATCTCATTGCTGGTTTTCATCAAGTAGCTCACATGAGACTTAATTTTACTTTTCCCCTGGACAGATGTTTAAACACAAACTCAATGAGTTCCTTTGCATGGAAAAATCTATCAATATAATAATTATTATTATTATGAATACTTGTTGATCCTTCATTAACTCCTAAAAATGAACATTAGGTCATTTTTCCAGTCACTGTATTGAATTAAAGACATTGAAGTTTAAAGAAGTTGCTGACTTTAGTGTTTACATTTTTCAAGATGCTATTCTTTGTCAAGACAACTCCCTCTTGAACCCAAAACATGTGCAGAAATTTTTCTGTACAGTTCATTCTGTACAGAGTGCAGCCTGTTACAATGGGTGCATGATTATGTTTGAGTTGATCTATGCAGGTTTTAGTTTTCAATCTAGCCTCAGCTAGCCATCATTGAAAGGACTTTAAAGATTTTTTTATTTTTTATTTTTTTTGCAATATACTGTATTACACAAGCAGTTTAGAGGATTGTAATTCTCATTGTGTACTGTAAAATCTAAAATATATATTTTTTAAATTTTTTTGTTCTTTAGCTGATCAGAAGTCTGCAGAAACCACAAAGAAGGCGTCTTATTTTAAGGTAAGTGTTTTCCATCTGTAGTCAGAACCTGGCCTGTTACTTTTCTGCAAGACCCTTCAACTTTGGCCTCAGATAAATTAGCACCTTTGTTATTTAATACCCTTTTTTTCTTTCAAACTTTTCTACCTCCTTTAAGTATCCATATAAGCTCTTTTTCTTGTGGTTCTGATCTTTATCCCTGCACACTATATCAAAACAAAGTGAATTGAATGGTTGACATGATCAAAACCAGTTTGCATGGTTTCCCTGTGTATCTGGGGAATTACTTGATAATTGGCTGCTTTAAGTTGCTCTACTTTGTTTTCTGCGGTGCCCTTGAGGGGCCTTATGGTATTAGTTGACTGCTGGAGATGAGCACCAGAACCACAGTGCAAGTATCAGCATTTGAAATGGATCTTTTTGACTTCTTTAGGTACTGGGATTATGTTAATGAACAGAACATGTGTTTTTTATTAGTCCTGGAGGAGATTATAAAGATCATTCAAAGTACCGTTGGGGGAATTTTCTCACATTGTAATGGAAAACCTTAACTTCAAGTAAGGTTAAGTACAATGTTGTTTGAAGTTTCTTGCATCAGAAGTAATAAGCACAAGTCAGTTTTATTAACCGCATATGTTGGGACATTTCTTTCCTTCTCACTTGTTTATGTAAAGCATGGCAATGTGAACTCCTTTCAACATTAAGGCATTGGTTTACATCTGAATATCGATATTCATTCATCTCTAGCATATAATCGCAGAGCAGAATGATTTCCACCTGTCCAACTTTTTTTGTCAGTATTTAACCATGGAAATCCCCAAAGCCATCAACCTAAAGACAAAAAAAAAAAAAATCAAAGTTTAAATGTTGATTTTAAACATCTGTAGGCGATGTCAGTCTGTTTCTGTGCTTTCTTCTCTCTATTTCACTTGCCGCTTTGCTTCCAAGCTTTTCCAGAACAGCTGTTGCACACTTCATCTCTTCTCTGGAAGTTTAGCTCCATTAATAACAAATTGAGCCATTTCTTAGCACACCGAATGCTCTTGCACCTGGTTGCAAACCTGGCCAAATTCATGACTTCAGCCTGATGGTCTATGGAGACCTTAAAGCAGTTGTGGGAAGAATGTATTATGCTAAAAGATGATCTATGGAACTCGATGTGAAAATCTCCCAAATCCAGGGGGAGATCTGCACATCTGAGCTTAAAAATGAACTGTAAAGGCATATCTGTTTTTTTCCCAGGCTGCTTAGGTTTCAGAAGTGGTTTGGTTTCATAATCTTTGATGTAAATAGCTCTTCTAATTTGGCATTTTCTGCAGAGCCAAACTTGGCCAAGTACACCCAGATGGTAGCAAGTTCCAGCAAAAAAAAAAAAAACTTTTATGGAAAAACAGGTTTCCATCGTACGATCTCATTAATCTACCCCATCCACAGTTTTCTCAGATTAAGCCTCCATTGTTTTACAGTGTCTCATTTGATGGTTGACTGTGTTGAAAGTTGCCATTTGTCTGTCCTCAATTTCCTCTTGTTGTTCCGGTCAGTTTGTGCTAAAAAGCAGTCAGTGTTTAAATCAGAGGAAATGGCATCAGAGTTAGAGCTCAGCTAATCAGAAATGAAGGCAGAAAAAATGAACAGGAAAGTGAATTAACTTCTTAATAGATTTTATTCACTTTTTTGTAAAAAAAAAAAAAAAAAAAAAGGAAATCTGTTTTGGGAAAGACAGTAAATCCCGCTTGGTGGGAAACAACTTCCTCTCTCAGTGATCAGTGGGCAGCATTTAGTTTGTAAGAAGCTTCTCTAATTTAGGGTATTTACACAATTTTAGGTATTTTTCTCACAGCTGGAGGTCCACTTATCCTCACCAGGTCACGCCAGGGGTTTACTAAAGTGTTTACTCACACAGCTGCAGGCTTCACTCTCAGCTTGTGTGAAAAGACCCAAGAAGACAGAAACGGCTAGATGTAAATCCCTGTCTGTTCAGCGAGTAGACTGAAACAGTTTAAAAAGAATTAGGTTAATTTTCAGATGTCTGAAAAGAGGTTTTCTTTAGGCTACATAACGTGACCTCAATAAAACTTGCCTAAATTATCAGGACAAACGTTTTGGTTTATTTGCAATTCATGGAAAAAAATCTTTCCCCAGACGATTCCATTTTGATTTGTAACCCAAGCTTAATGTGTTGGCTTTTAAAAGATGGACTGCCAAACACAACATGGGGGAGCAACAAAAAAACATCTTAAAATCATTTTATAAATAAAATATTGGTTTAAACAACTTCATATGCAGACAGTAACATTGACTATGCAATGAAATGACAGCTTGTGCTGCACTGTATCTGTATCTGTGCTTCCATCCTATCCTCATGGGATTTTTGAGCGAAAAGTAGTGGAAACAGCTGATTAACTGTTTAAGATAAAATAATTTGACTCCAACAGAATCTAAATATATCCATGCATGACTAAGTGCACAAAACGTATATTCAATAGCAAAAAAAAACGTGTTACTATTATTTATATTTTCCCTTGAAATTAAGAGGAGCACAATAATTAGCATCAGTTTGTATGTTATCTGCATGTTTGCTCTTTTGTTTCATTTGAACCACTTTTGAAAAAAACGACTTTGTTTTGACAATGGTCTCAGAAATGTCACACACTTTACTTTTATGGGAACCTGGACATCAGAACACATCCTCATCCTCTTTACAAGATGATACCCAAAAGGTGAAAAATAAATTACAATGGATAACATTTTTGTTACAATTTGTGCAGGCTGGTTAGATCAACCATTATGTTTTGCATAAAGGAAAGGAGTGCAGAATAATTTAGGAACAGATGGAACATTTTATTTGCTGAAGGAACAATGGATTCCGTAAAAAAAAAAAAAAAAAAAAGCAAAGGTTCCTCAAGGGAAACATATCACTACTTGTTTTAGAGGAAAAACAGATATCCAAACATGCCATAAACACTCCTCAGGCCCAGATTAACCCAAGAAGTTCAAGTCTAAGGGATTTGTTTTAAATACTGACCTTGGATTTAATAAAAAAATCTGTAGACAGGTTTTAGAAGTGCAGTTTATGAAGATTTAGAATCAATTGAAGGATTTAAATGTGGGTTACTGTTCTAATACTCTTAACTTTTATGCCCTTGAACCTAATCACGCTTGCAGTCTCACCTGTGCTGTTTGATGTCTGCATTTCTGCTGCAGTTTATGTGCCGTTTCAGAATTACAGCCACTGTTACTGAAGGTCCTTAATAGCCTGCAAGAAAGAAATGTACCAAACGGTCCCATTGGGAAAATAAAGGGCAATTAATCTTTGGATTCTTTCATAATGGCTTATTCTATAACTCTGTGAAGGTGCCATAAACTACAGCATCCATCAGGGTTACAACTAGCTTTTTCTATAGCCATAACCTCTATTTTTTTGTTGCTATAATGATATTTAATCCCTGGTGTTAGTGTTTGGTTTTTATTTATACGTCAGATCCTAAATGCTGCATAAAATTCCAATAAAATCAGTTTAACACCCTAAAAGATGTTTTAGTTTCCACAGACAGCCAAAGCCTGATGTCTGTAATAAAAAAAAATGTAAAGTTTAAATTAAGGAAAAATGAATTTTAAAGGAGTTTAGCTTAGAGGGAAACACCCCTCTTACTATAAATTCAGGACAGAGTTAAGTCCTTCCTGCTTTTGATGACTTTTTTTTTTTGTCTGATATAAATTTTCACCCAGGTATAATATGTTTACCCTGATTGAATCACCAGAGGTAGAGGAAAGTAACGGCTGCAAAAAAACACATTAGTGGTTCCTGGAAAAAAGCCCTTAAAGGGAAAATACAACCTGCATCTTGCCAAAACAAGTTTCTACATGGCTATAGGCTGAGACGCACCTATCAGATGTTCTTCAGGCAGGTACCTGCATCTATTGGTCTTTAACCCTTTAAAGCCTGATCCAAGAATAAAACGAAACAGAAAATTACTTTTTTTGGTTTGAATTCCTTATTTGCCCTTTTAACAAAATATGTAAAAAGAAAAAAACAGAAATACATTTTTGATATTAATAATTTATTACTATGCGATAAGTCAAGATTATTTTTTGTGTAGTCTTCTACTGGCTGTTATCAGATATATCTGATTGTGTACAATAGGATTTTGAGCAAAGTTTTTACCATTAAATTATGCAAAAGGTGTCAGATGCAAAACATTTCAGAAACCGTATGTATCAAATACGATACATTTGGCATTATAGGGTTAAGGTTCAGTGACAGTTTTACATTTGTATTCGTTTCGTACAGTTTTTTTTTACCATAATATACAAAAAAAAAAACGTTTCAGGCCCCCTTATTAGTCCTACCTACTTAATAATAATAATGATAATAACTGAAAGTTATTGATTTCACATTGGAGAAATATACCCCACTTGCATTTTAACCCATATCCTTGGAGAGTAGTGGGTTCGAGGCTGTTGGGTTCGAAACAGGTTCTTGCAACTTTCTCAGAGCAGAAAGCGAACTGCTCTAAACCACTATGCCAATATATATACATACATACATACATACTGTACAGTACATAACTAAAATAAATGATAAAACCAGAAAGGAAAAACAAAAAAAGGCAAACAAGTGCATTTTAAGCTGAGATAACAAGAAAAAAAAATTACTCACTCTGGGTTAATGATAAAAGGTTTTTTTTCAGATTAGTTTTAAAAACATCAAGAGATGGAGCCTGTCTGACCAACAGTAGCAGTTTATTCAACAACTTAGGGGCCAGAACTGCAAAAGCTTAGTTAAAAAGCAAATGTTTTCAGTCTTTATAGAGCAGATGAAAGGAAAGTTGGCCGATTCTAATCTCTGGTTGATCGATTGGTGCATTTTCAAAAGGAAAAAAGCGGGGAGTGGTGACCTAGTGGTTAGGGCCTTGAGTTTATAATCCTGAGGTTCTGAGTTTAAGCCCCACTCCAGCAGACTGCCACTCTGGGTCCTACTACTCTCACACTACTCTCCTGGTGCTGCACAATGGTAGCCCACTGCTCCCCGAGCGGACGGGTTAAATGCAGAGAGTTAATTTTGTTTCTCTGTACTTGTGACAGTGTAATAAAAAAAGCTGGGGAAAAAAAAGGTCTGCGGTATGAATCCCGGCCAGGGGTCTTATTGCCTGCAGTTTGTATGCTCTCCCAGTAAGTAGGAAGGTTCTCTTTCGGTACTTTGGCTTCCCTCCAAAGTACAAGACGCTGCCGTTAACTGAGTGTTTACTCTAAATTGGCCTTGGACATAAATATGTATGCAGGTTTATTCATAATAATCTGTCCTGTGTGTTTCTGTGCTGCCCTGGGCTGGACTGGCTACCTATCCTCAGTGTATCATGCCCCTAACCCATAGACCACCCTGCATGAACAAGAATAGATAACTGATAGATTTCACATGCAGCAGCATTCTACTGTCTTCTAACCTCAGGGCTGATCTGCTGAAGCATTGCAAGGGTTAACTGCCATTCTTAAATCAGGGGTGGAGCCTTACTTATCATTCACTTCCTTTTTCAGGATATTCGTTACAGCTGGTGCAGGACTTTGACAGGATTTCTTCTTTATTTTTGGCCTGATCTTTTTTCTCCCACCCCTCTGATTGTAGGAAGCAAAAGGAAGTGAGGAGGTTAGCAGCACCCTGTGCTGTGATGACACGACAAAGCATCAGCTAATCAGCACTGACAGAGAGGAATCTTCAACCAGGTGAGCAGTTCACAGTGAATGCAACGTAGGAGGACTGACTTTTAGACTGATTTAACCTCTTTGATACCTAATGAAATCTGTAAGCTGTAGGACAGACATTGTTAGTACTAGACTAAAACAACTTGGAAAGAAATGCCACCCACACAGTAAAAAGGAACGGGCTAAATGGAGCACAGAGGTAATAACTGATCTGTTGAATGCCTGTCAAATGTCATAAGCAGCTGAAAGGATAAAGGAGGTAGGAAAACCTGCTGAACTAGCCCTCAGGAGTCTATAAACAAACAAATACTCTGGTTTGTACAGAATCAGAGTGAATGTAGGTTTAATAGACTGCAGAAAGTGTTTTTTTTTTTTTTTTACAATATGCAACCTTTGAGTTTTGTCAACATATTAAAGAATGAGCTCATTCTTTCTTAGCTGCATAAAGTTTGGGTGGGAATGACGATTCAATCAGGAAATGCTTAAGTTCATGTTCCTTTCTCCGCTTGGACTTTTCTTTTTTAGCCAATTTTAGTTACACACCATTAGATTTCAGCTTTAACTAAATAAATTATTATTAGCAGTAAAAAAAACAACAGTTTTCAGATAGTTTTTGGCACTAGATGGCTGTATTCCATGTTCAGAAAGTAAATGGGTATAAAGTGAAGGAGGTGACTATCCTAATGTCAGGATTTAAACTGGCCTCTGTAGATGGGGCATATATTTTACCATTAAAATAGTCCTATTAGATAAATAGAAGCTATGCCAGGACTGATGTCTTAATGCAAAGTTTCCTTCAGGAAGATGCTGAAAGCCTAATTGCTACTGTTGATCAGAGCATAATGGAGAAGCAAAGATGCTGTATGAAGTGCTTGTATAAATGTGGCTCTTAGTGTAAAGCAGACTGAGTGGCCAATAAAACAGCTTTGGCTCTTCATAAATGGACTTCCTTTACCATTAACAGATTTGTCTCCTATGATTATGCTGAATCAGTTCCATGTCAGATTCAAAGCATGGAAAGGATGATGGTCTGATTATCTCTGTACAAGTTCCTGGATTGATTCACCTCTTTGTGAATAATAATCTTTTTAAAAGGACAGATGCAGACATCTAAATGAATTCAACCTTTCATTTTCGATGCTTTAAAAGACAAAAAAATCTTCAGTATGCTTAAAGTAGAAATGCATAGATTCAGTTTTTTTTTTGCTCGATTTCCAGTTTTGTTAAACTCTGACCTGCTGATAGTAAGTTCAGTAGTAATGGTCTCTAGAGAGCATAGATCCATTTTTACCTCCTAGATTGGGGGGAAAAAGGCTGCTAAGATTTCCAAATCAAAGATGTTGATGTTAAAAATACAAATTAATCTAAATGAGCAACTTAGAAGTAGCCTGAATGAAAGGGCAATAGACCTCAATGAAAATAAAAATAGAAGTGCAGATTCCTTTCTAGATGCTTGCTTTTGTTTTTCGCTGACTTCACATTCAAACATCCGACTGATACTTAAAATAGCTTATGTGATTGTTGTGTCATGCTGAGGGGTGTTACGGTTAGTCGGTACCTCTGGCGCCTGGGGATGATGCTTTCAATGATAAAATACACTTAATTGTTTTGTTTTTTTCAAGACAAGATCAAACTCAAAACTATCTGCTTCCATTCACCACAGATTATCTAAAATTTGAGATTTTTTTTCATGTGTTACTCAAATTTTTAATTTAATGGTTCCTGCTAAAGAATTATTTTAACTTTAAATTTTTGAAACACATTTATGAATAAATTCTCCCTTTTAAAGAAAATATTTGCCTGTTATATAAATGTGTAGATTTTAAAATATAACTTTTAACTATGAAACATTTATAAAACAGTTCATTTTTTAGGCTAAATCAATTTGTTATCTTCATGATTTGGCTTAGTAATTTCTTTAAACAAAAAATAACTTAACAGATATCTCCTACCATTTAGATTTAAACCAGCTTTTCATCATGCTTTATCAAACATTTCCATTCTACTATATTTTTACAGATTTTAGTTAAACAAAATAAAAATAAAAAAACAAAGAATGCACTGAAACCTATTTTTGTATGCTTTCTATTTGCATTTTTTTCAGCCTCTCTAATGCTGATAAAGGAAAGGCAATGGAGGAGTCCACAGAGGAATTTTCTGGGAAGGAGCAGCTGGAAAATACAGCCACTACAGAGGAGATGCAGGTAGACTTACATGTGAAATGAAGTGCATTGTCTCTCTCAAAAGCCACAGCATTTCCTAAAAAAAATGAAAATTCTATTAATAGATATGTAAACTGAACTGCAGTATTGAATAGGACTTTTGTGTAGATGGACTGTATTTGTCTGCACTGAAAAAAGACCACATGCAAGCCAATTCCTAAACTCTTACGCACCTTGACTTTTTGGCTGGGGGTTTTTCCAGGCCTGGTTCAGTTTAAGCTTTTTTTCTTTCTTTCTCTTTTGAAGTCAACTAGCAGTTTATAGTTCATGTTCTTAATGTAGAATTGCAACATAGATACTCACTTATTCTTTTCCATAAGCTGACATAAAAATGCTTTGCTTTAATCTTAAATTGATTCCCACAGGTGATGAAATTAAGTCGACACAGTTCTCTATGCACATAAATGCATCAGCCACACTCTGCACTCTGGTATTTATTAAAGAAGACCACCAGTTTAGCATTACATTGTCACACCCCGCCTGGCTCACAATTTTCCTCTCCTCCCAAGTCAGCACGCCCTCCCAACCTTTGGCCCGTCGGTACAATGTGTGGCTATTGTTCCAGCTGCTGTTGGTTCTGCTAAGTGATAACACACTGAGCTCACACGCTGTATACATTACCTGTGTATTTAAAAAAAAAAATGGTGTTGCAGTTTTAAGTTACTGATCACAGCTCTGAAGTGTTAGGTGTTTTTGGATAGCTCAGCCTCTTAACTTTATGTTGTGCAACATCTGTTCTCCGTTAAACTCTTTGTTCAAAGACGAAAACAATCTGAACTTATGTATTTTGAAAGCAAGCAATCACTCTCAGTTCTTTTAAAAACATTTGAATGGTGGATTTATTTCTTTTTTAATCATAATTGCTATTGTGTGATGTTGGTTTTCTGCATTTGCTTTTCTTCTTTTCAAAACATTTCTGTCTAATTTTTATCATCATTCAGTTTTACATGGCTCTAGACTGTGGTTAATAGCTGCATGTCATTAAAAGGAGCAATGTCGGATCTTTGGTGCTAAATTTGATGTTTTAACTATTAGATGAGCAGAATTCTTCATTATTTGCAGTATTTTTGAGCAACATAAAAATAGCCTAAACATTTTCCTTGTCCGATGAGGTGTCAGACGCAAACATATAGAGCAGCAGGTGGAGGACCTTTTTTGTTGAGTGTATTCTATCCCTTATTCGTTGTAATACACTCACTTCATGAAGATTTTTAAGTATTTTCTTCCCTACGTCAATCCGCTTCAGTCTATATATCCATTAGGACTAGCCTGTCATGAGTGAAGAGTGATGAAGAGTGATGTCACACTTCCTTTGGAGGTACCAGATCTGCTCAGGGCCCTGCCTTTTCATTTGACATCACCATATGGCAACGCCACTCAGATGAACTCCATTGCACCCGTTTCTTAAGAATCAGATCTCTCCTGGAGTGTACACATATTATTACCCATATTTGCCATTATTTTACATTTCAGCTGCCATCTAAAGTAGCCGAAAGTAGAAAAAAATAGTTCTCTGAGGCAGGGGACGACAAATGGAACATAAAAATTTACTTTGGCAGTAATTTTAGACAAGAAAAACAAGGGTTATTCTAATTGTAGAAAACGAACAGTTGTTGTTGACACGAAGTTAAAAGTTGTGTAGCTTAATATGGCTAACTGACCAAGCTAAAATAGGCTAACCTGTTAGCTACTGAGCACAGCTACCCACAGCGATACCCAGCTCTCCCCCTTTATATCATGAACCCGAAGTTACTTTTTCACCATAAACAGAGCTTTTTTTGAGCTTTGTTATCAATCGGCTAAAACGTCATCGGTCAGCAAACCAGCATTGCAGATGCTCACGACTCGGCACACAGATGCTGCATTATGTTATTATCGTTGTCTGGGCAACCACAATGTTTTATGTCATGTGGCAACGTTCAGCCAATCATATAGTGAAATGTCACTGGCATGCGCATGGGTCCAAGCAGATCTGACCATCCAAGCTTGGATGGGTTTGGAATGGGCAAAAAACGGAACCAGCAAAAGAGCATTTTTCCTTTAAAAAGAAAAATGCTTTATTTTTAATCATTAGTATCTCAGTATGTCACAACTAGTATTTGACGGACAGGAGACCCCTATCAATTAAGAGTTTTATCCCATCTTTAAAGCCCAGTTCCCTGTCAGTCCTGCAGTTTGCATTCAGACTGGATAAGATTGTGGAAGTGGCCACTTCATTTGCTCTGAATTCTGTATATGTACAAACATTTGAATAAGGGAAAATCTGAAGCTAGAAATCTTCTTGTTGATTATAGCTCTACTATTAATTCTCTTTTTTCCATTAAGTCTTATTTATAACTGAAGACACTTGAATTGAATGATGACTTAAAAGGTTTAAAGTTAAAGACTGCTTCTCTGATGTACTTACAGTAAACATTGCTTTGCCACAGGGTTGTGTTTTGTTGTACACTTTGCACAGTCATTGTGTTGCATCAAACCTTTCAACTACTTTATAATTAAGTACACAGATGATACAGCTGTTGTTGGTCTGATTTTTCTCATGACGACTCTTGCTATAATACTAGGGAAAAATGTTTTAATTTCTCATGTATTTAAAAAAATAATATTTGTATTTATAAATGATATGGAGGTGAATATTATAGATAATTTTAAATTTCTTGGTGTTTCTTTGTCAAATGAACTCAGCTGGAATTTGAACACCAGTTTGATCGTCAAATTGTCTGAACAGCTGCTTTCTTTTGTGTAAATAGAAAGATTTATCTAGTAATTGGTAGATTTTTTTTTTTAAGTTTAACAGAAGGTTTTCTCTTGAACGCTATTAGAGTGTAGTTTGGACAATATGAGATTAAGTATTATCGAGATAAACACCTGAGATTTCCCTTTTTTGATATTTATGAGACAGCAATAGCAGCAAACCCAGATAAAGTTTAAAAATTACTATTTTGCCAAATTTAGCTCACCATATACATTAAGTAGAGCAGTTTTACTGCTAAAATCATCCAATCATCGGAATAGTTTTTATTTGAAATAAATTGATATTTATTGTATCTTCATTTATTCCATAATGGATCCAGCAGTGGAAAAAAATCTTGTTGGAACACCAGTTTGTCAGTTTTAGTATTTTGCATCATCTAGTTTAAAAAATAATTTTGACCAGATGCGATACAATACATAAATGCACACCTCCAGCACAAAATGACAGCCGAGATTTGTACTGATGGGTGCATCAATACAAAGTCTGGCCTATGAGACATTATGCAGCCACTTTGTCAGCTGATGATTCAAATGAAAGTACAGCACACCCTCATATCCCACACTGTCATGAATCCTCTGACATGTATAGTCATCAGAACTATGATTGGCAAATGCGAGATGTTTGCTGGTTATTTCACTCTTCCCCCACTGTGTAGTTTTGGATGTTTTGTTTGAGAAATGATACAGTCGTATACATTTCATTCAACTATTGATGCCCAGCAGGATTATTTTTCAGAAATTTGTCTGAAAAGTCAAAGATTAAAAGTCATTTTCATTAATTAACCCTTCTGCAGACACCTCTCTGTGGTCACCTCTCCAAAATTGTCGGTGACCACAGACAGGAGGCCTCTGATTTGTCAAATCTACATCCACTCTACACTATGCGTATTTCCTGTTTGGTACCTTACCGGCTTTTTTTGTTTGTATGACCGCCATTGTGGAAAACGGCTCGTGAAGAAGGACCAGCTAGAAGAGCGAGGCGCGCTAGAACACTGGAACCCTTTTTTCCACCTGGATCCCCTCTACTTTTCACCTTCATGTCCCTTTGTTATCAGACAAGTTTTCCCCCATTTCCTCAACGCCTGGGCTGTATCTAGACCCACAGCTAGTTCATGATATTCCCTTTTGCGTTGTGATGTGGAATAGCATAGCGCAGACCACACTCAATATTGGGCGTAAATCAAAAATATCTGCGACAAGCTCACTGCGACAGGAGCTACCTTACCAAAAAAAAAAAAAGGGATCAGAACCCAAACAAAGGAAAATTGATTATAATTAGAAAGTCTTCAGAAAATGATGCAATACAATGGAACAAAATTTTAGGCACGATTTTTGCCCCTTTTATATCCAATTATCTCCATGTGTTATAAAAAGTACAAAACTGCTAATAGAAATAAACTGACTCATATGTTTCAATTTATAGGTATTAGCTGGTTTTGATTGTATGCATTACATGGTTTCTTGGTAAAGGGTTAAATTAACACAGAGGCATAGAAGATCTTCAAAAAGTGATATATACCAAATAAGAAATACATTTGAAAGTTGAACAGTTTTCACTACTTTGTTTTTCTGTATTTCCTGTGAAAAGCAAAATTGCTAAAATTACTAATTGAGTCACATTGTCCTATTTGTTCAAATCAAAGGGGTTAAAGTAGCTTTTTATGGTCCTGAATGAGAAAAGAACAAAATGTTAATGTGTGTAAGAAATGAGGCAAAGAGAGGAGCTGATGTGAAGCTATTAAACAAACATGGATTGCCAATATTTTGCCATGCAATATACAAAATGACAAACTGTTGAAACGTCTCTTCTGAAATAGTTGATTTACTCACACAAAACTGATTGCAGGTTGTACTCGAGGTGAAATTATTTATTTTTTTCTTACCCTGCCCCAGACCCTGAGATTCCTCTCAGACAGAGCGTCTTCTACCAGGAAGAACAGTGACCCCTCACCCCCACCTTCTCCTCTTGGCCAGTCGGCATCTTCACTGCAGAGACAAGATTCTGGGCCTTTAGGCATCAGGGGAATCCTAAAGAAAAGCCGCTCCACCAGTATGGACTCAGATCATAGTGACAGCATGATGCCTGGACACACGCCTACTTTGCAAACCAGTGTCACTTTGAGCCACCAAGAGAGTGAGGAGGAAGAGGAAGATGAGAAGGAAGAGGAGAAGGAAGAGGAGGAGGAGGAGGAGGAACAACATGAACTGGAAGAAGAAGAAGAAGAGGAGGAGGATGAGGAGATGGAGGAAAAGGTCAGCAGGGAAAGTTATAAAGAAGAGGGCTCATCAGGTGATGACATTGTGGATGGTAGCGGCTTCAGCAGGTGCAGAGAAGAGAAGAATAGCAGCAGCAGCACAGGCAGCAGAGGGAGCTCAGAGGAGATGCGGAGTCCTTCGCCTGACGAGAGCCTGGAGACCACTTCAACAGTGTCTGAGGATGTCGACGAGCTGGAGAGCAGTTTCGATCAAAGTCAAGGGTCGGAAATGAAAAAGAGGTGAGGACATCCAAAAAAAAAGAACAAAACAAAGCTGAAGTATAATGCAGTTATTTACAGAGAAATGTGATCAAAGTATTTCAAAAATCAAACCTAAACTATATATTTTTTGTTTTTTTTTGGTTTTTTTTGTTATGAAAAGGGAAGCTGATTGGAATAGGAATAGTTTGCCAATATTTTTCTATCCACCTTTATAGGATATTTCTGGTAAATACGCTGGTTAAGGGATGGATAAGATAGTTATATCAGAGTTTAATATGTAAAGTTTCTGAATAATACCATCAGAACAAACAATATATATTTGCACATCTTCTGCACAATATGTATTGTGATTTAATGCTTTTTATTATCTTCTATTTAGCAAGCTATCTGTAACCTCTTTAGTCAGCGTGCCTTTGTATCTTGATTTCGTTTTTTCCGCTGTCGGCCATTATGGTGTATCTGAATCAAACTTTTGTCCTGAAATATACTTGGTACAAATTAAATGAAAAGTGTATTGATGTCTTTTAAAAACAGGGCTTATACAGTACTTGTTTTTCAGACTGGCCTTGTTGTCTGGTGCGGACAGTGAAAAGAAAGACAGACTGAGGAAACCAAAACCATCAGAACTGATCCAAACGCCGCTGGCTGATCGCTTCAGCAAGCTCCATGATGCTGAAAACGCCTGGAAAAAAAAGGTCAGTCCCACTAAGAGCTTATAAACAATATTGAGTTGTTTCACACAGAAATGCTTCGTCAAGTCTTAACACTGACATAGCCTATTTTTAATAAAGTGCATGGTTCACATAAACTATAGTGAACTGCTTATCATAGGAATCCAGCAGCTAAGTCAAACATCCTGACCTGCTGGTTATAGCAAAGGTTCTCTGAATGTTGAGTCTGGATTAGTTTGAAGGTATGAAAAAAAGGGGGGAAATATTTGTGTTGTAAGACTTAATTTAGTAGCCATCAATTTTCCTTCCTTTTTTCATGTAGTTCTTTCATTTTTCTTTCATTTTAAGCTTTTTTCCTTGTCTTATTTGACTCCTTATGTCTATCCCTTTTTATTTCCTTCAGTCCTTCCTTATTTTATTTTTTGTGTTGGCTTGAATGTTTGTGTTCAACCTTTCTCCTTCCCTCATCCCTGTTTTTCTTCTTACATACTTCTTTTCATTATCTCTCTTCTTCCCTTCCTTCCTGTATTATTTTCTCAAAAAAAGGAAAAACCAACATATGAATAATGTTTGGATCTTTAAGGGTCACAGCAGCTTTTTAAAACAGAAATTTCTTCATTTTCCCCCTGATTTTTTTTTTGCTGTCTTGTTCATTTCGTGGTAGGAATATAATAATTCAATGTCACTTGGTCTTTGATGTAGTAAAGCCATAGCACATATTTATTATTGTCTAGCTTAGACTTTGATGATAAAGGCCACATTAATTGCCTTGCATTGTTTTATCATGGCAGCAAGTAAGGAATTATGTTTTTTAGGAGTTCAGAGAAGTGGCAGTAATGAGCGAAGTCAGCCAGATTCTGCAGCCTCTCCTTGGCCATGTGCAGAAGTAAATAAAGACTCTGCTGCGGACACGTTTCTCCCTCTGCTGAATCAGCATAGTTCCCCTTGCTGGTGCCAGGAGAGCTTGTGGTTCAGAGCTCTGGGGTTGTAGCAGGTTTAAGAGTGGAGATCCAGGGCTCAGTTTACCTCCTGGAGAGAAGAGAAACCCACAGCTTCCATCCACTTGTAAAAACGAAATCCTGCACCATGACCAAACACCTGAAAACCCTCCAACTTAACGCCTCCTTCTTATTTGGCAGTTTTACTCCCTTTTTACTCCTGTTCTCAAGGTTATAAAAATATACTTCCCCCAAAGCTGGCTTTTGTGTTCATCATAGGATTAAATTTCTCGGCAATACTCCTATAAACATTCAGGTCAAACAGTTTAGTTCTACTAATCATGGATAAATTGCGCATATTTTTGTGTAAAACTTGCAGAGCCTTTTCAGTGAAAACAAAGCTGCCAGTACAGAAGGGTTTTTTTGGTCGGAGAGCTAACCCTATGCCATGTAATCACCATTCCCACTTAGAGCTGATATATATTCAATGTGGACAAAGTGAAATTGTCGATTTGTGCCGTCTGGTGTATTTATGTGGAAAATCTCTTGGCCTGATGCCTGTGAAGAGACATCAGAGATCCTCTTTTGGGGATTTCTGGTTGGAGCTCATATTTTATCCAAAGATGAGCTAACCTTAGATCCACTCAGTCTGGAAAAAGCTGCACAACAGAATTAGAGCCTATTCCCCTATGAAATGCAGAATAATGATGTCATATTTTGTGTGTGGTTTGTCTTGAGTATCACACAGCAGCACAAAGTGTACAGAGATGTGAAATTTCCAGTAATTCTGCAAAAACTGCATCTTCACATCTATAAGGGAGAGCTAAGCAGTCATCTTTATATCTAACTTTATTGCCTTTGCTTAAATCTGGTGCACAGATCTAAAATCCTAACCTTTACTGACTGATCCTACGAAAACAGCACTGGTCCTGTCTCTGCATTGGCTCATACATGGCTATTCCTGTCTCATTTTTCTTTCTCTTTTGACGAAAGTGCTTTGTTTTGGTAGTTCTGGTGTTTACTTTCCTTAGAGCTTTCATAGTTAGGTCAGATGTTTGTGCTCTTTGGTAAAATGTGAAAGGAAGCAGAATGAAACACGTACTGTCGAGTTCCAGGTGTTTCCTGACAGACTTGCTATGCCTGGTTGTTAATTTGATTTAAAAGGGGGCCAGTTGTGTCATGAGGCATAATTGTTAGTTATATGTTGGGAAGACTGATGATGACATCTCATTTTCTTGCAAAAAAATTCACCCGCGTTAAAAAAAAGCTGCTTTCTGACTAATGGAACCTACAGTGCTGTCTTAAGATAACATCCCAAACAGATTACAATAAATCTATGTTTCAAAGCTTTTGGAAATAAATTACTTGTCTTTGTTTTTTGTACACTTGTGGTGAGTCAACAAATTCTAATGAAGTGGCTTTTTTTGTGTTGTTTTGTGTTTTCAAATTAAAAGCTCAGCAGTTTTGCAACCACTTAGTAACCATATTATAATAACTTTGTAGTTAGGTGGTCTGTTCCCTAAAATCAGAATGTTTTTGAGATTTAACAAGCTGAGTTGTGTGAATGTTTACTGCTTTTTTTTTTATATATTTAAGTACTGTATTATAAAAATAAATGATTTCGCTCCTATTATTAGCAACTAGCACAGCTTAAAAGACTAGCATTTCTGTTTTCACATTGTGTTCCTCAAGATTTACTGTTACTTATTCTCCTCAGATATTTAGAAGGAAGTAATGAGTTAGTGGTTTAAGAGCAGGGTGTTTGCATCCCTTACAGTATGCAAAGGTCATTGGTTCAAAGCTAATGCTATAGGTTTTGGTACCAGAGCAAAACTCCAGAAAGTGCTAAAGATGAAACTGGGTGTTGCAACCCAAATATTTGCCCTGTCCATTTTCCCTTCCTGTTATCTAATGAAAATATTGCTCTCTCGTTCTCACAGCATCAATGATCTGGAGATTTCTGCCAGATCTGGTTGAGCTGATTGGCTGCCAGGTGGTAACTAGTCATGGCCACTAAAGCAACAAAAAATGGAAGATTATGGTCGATCATGTTTTTCCTATTACTAAATCTTGATTTTTCCAATTCTGACCAGTGTTGTTTCTGACAGCCATCTTAGATTTAGTCTTAGTCTTAGTCTTCAGGATGAAACTATTATTAGTCAGATTTTAGTCATTATGATGTATGATGTGTTAGGTTTAGTCTGTTTTTGTCAACTAAAACTTAAAAGGTTTTAGTCAGTTTTATGCTGCAAAAAAAGTTAACCTTTATAATTTCGAATAAGAACCACATTCTTTACCAGACTGAAAGCTCTAGCCCAGATACTACAATTGCTGGGTATAGAATGCTGCACTGCAGTTCATCATTGTTGCTGGCCAGAAAACTTTGATTTATAGAATTCAAATAAACTTTGCTATGAAATAATGCCCTACTTTATAAAAAAGGGTCTCACAAAAGCTGTGAAAATGGCAGATCTAGTTTAACACATATTGGTTAATATAGCAGACAGACAAGCTAACAAAATGTACATTAAAGGAATGGTTTTAGACATACGAGGTCTCCATTCAGTAGCAAACACTTCCCTGATCTACTATGAATTACCCACAGATCAATAAAATCTTAATTGCTCCAAAAAAGAAAATAACAAAAACATTCTTATTTCTGCTTTGGCAATTTGGGCCTTGTTTTGAGAATTTCTCCCTTTGTTACCGCTGTTAATGGGTCAAAATAGATTTAAATTCACAGGGGTTTGATATATAAGAAAAAAATACAGAGATAACCTACATAATTGGCTTGTAACGCCATGCCATTCCAGACCTAAATTGAATGAATATGCTAATTAAAAAGTTGACATATTCAAAGGAAACATACCAATTTTTTTTAAACGCACATACAAGGAAACATTTACATCGTATTTAAATGTATGGAAATTAGAAAAATGAGAGAGAAATATTCAAAGATCTATGTAGCTTTTCACTTAACTCTTTATCCAAAAATAAATAGTAGGAAATTAAATATTTTATTTGGATATAATTTAAAGATTCATTTAGGTAGAAATTAAATAAGGTTTAGTTTCAGCTCTTGTAAGCTGGAACAAATAAAATATTGAAAATAAAGAGATATTTTACGCCTGGCAAAGGATGATCAGCCGCATAGTTTATTAAGTAGCGAGAGCAGGAAGATCCATACTGCTAAGAGCGAACCATCTGTGTGGAACGTGAAGCGCAGACTCGGAGCCACATGCATGCAAAGACGCATTTCTGCAAGAGCACAGATGGAAGATCAGTGCAGAATTTGTCAGAGTTGAGCGCGCAGTACCGGACGATTCCATATTATCTTCTCAGACCCTGCCACTGCTGCGATTATCCATCTGTGGTTTTACAGAATGTGTAATGCTGCACGCCATGTGGGCGTGTGGCAAGATCAAACAAGACGCAGCACAGCTGATAATGCTTAGCTGATTACAGAACGATGATGCAGCTTAAACGTCTGTCTATTTAGTCTCATCTATCCTCTCTGACGAATACTGAAACCTATGACTAGTTAACTTTTAGTCATCAAGATGCATGTTGAGCTCGTCAGTTTTGTTATCGTCATGAAAAAAAGGAGCATCAATGAAACTATTTCGTCGTCATCATTGTTGATGAAAACACTGCTTCTGAGTTTGATCTTCTGCTATTGTTTTTTCCAAGTTATTTTCACGCAAAGAAAAAGAATAAAAAACTGTGCTACAAGTTCTTAAAACTGTCAGCATTGATCTTACAAACTACAAATTCCTTTAGTTAATATCTAAAAAATAGATTTCATTAAAAAAGAAACATTTATAAGCTAAAAAATGTTGGGCATTCTTAGTTTTGATTAATAGCATTTACCAATATCAATGATCAGAGCTGATCAAGAAAAAAAACCAATATGAGATATCTCAGAAAATATTTGAAAATCACTAAAACTAAGGAGAATTAAATGTCGGATTATATGGAAATCTATTTTATTCTATTTTTTGTCTTTTTATGCCCCCCAATACACACACACACAGACATCATGCGAACCAAATGACCCTTGCTTCCTGTAGTCTTCTTTCAAATTACAATCAGCATCTCTACCATTCTCTTCTAGTAATTTTCCCCTTTTCCTTCCTTTTTTCTTTTTTTCCTACCATTGTTCTCTTAGTTCTTAAATCCTCTATGGCTCCTGTCTTTATCTGCAGATTCGTTTCCTTTCCTTGAATTGACACCTGCTTGTCCACCTTTCCTCCTTTTTCCAGGTGAGTGTGTGCAAATGTAAATGCACATGTGCCTGTTTAGCATGGACTTGCTCACTATGATCCTGTTTTCATTTGGCATGTTTCCTGCATTAGCTGACTCCCTTTTATTTTCTCAGAGCGGAGGTAAATGTATTTTGGTGCTAATAATTCTCAGTAATCCTAGAAGGCGCTTGCACTTTAGAGTACAGCTTGGTTAGAGGGGAACCCTGTGGTTGTTGAGGGGCCTCACCATCTCTGGAGTCCTGTCAGGTCAAGGTATTTCCCCTCGTTGATCGACTCCAGAGATCTGTTTTAGAAAAACATGAAATAGCTCAAGGGTAAATGTGTAGGAAACTCTATATTTATGGTTACATGATTGAATGGAACTAAGACGGTGTATTGTAGTATTGTAGGGTCTACTATGGTGCTTTAAGCATTATAAATGCACCAATAGACCTCCAGGGTTCATATAAAGACACAGTCTCTGTGTTTTTTTTTTTTTTGTCTTCAATAAAATGCAGCACATGCCTGAAAGGGGGCTTTATTCACCCGTGTCCCCCTCAACGTCTCTTTTTACATTTGAAGTAAACAATGACCTCATTTTGATGTTCAGCTCCAGTGTTTTTGTAGAGCTCTTGCTCAGTAGGTAGGCTCAATTTATTTATGATGTAGAGTCGATCCACCCTGAGAGGCTAAACCCCCTGATAGGCGGTCTAACTTGGCAGATCTGTTTTACATTTGTGTTTTTAAGGAAGCGAGAGAGGATTGTAAATAGTTGCAGTGTATCAGGTTGTCTTTGTGTCCAAGTCTTTTTGATCCTTTGGGAATCCTTGAACATTTACTTTTCTCATATCACTCTAATGATGACCTGGGAAACATTCTTGACTTTTACATGGTGTTCAGTCTGCTTTTGTTCAATCTGCCTCTATAGATCTGGACAGGGAGGATCCCATTTTTTAAATAGAAAGTTTAAAAGTCTCTACTGCACTCTGTTGAAAGACTCAAGAAACAATAGCTTCTTGTAAATGTCTGCTTTGATAAATGTCTCGTTACTAGACAAAACTAAAGAATAAAACTAGTGGCTGTTGTCAGTTTTTTGGGGCCTCCTTCATCTAAAAATCACCAGCTTTACATAAATGCATTGTTGCTGAATAAATATACTATGTACTTCTCTTTTCTCTTCCAATCATTCTTTTATAATGCAATCAGCCTCATTGTGATGATTAAAAAAAAATCAGGATCAGCAATGCATTTATTTCCCATACCAGAGTGCCTCACACTGCTTCACCCTGACATGTTCCCCTTTAAAGTTGCAGACATCTGCAAATGTTTAAAGTGACTCTGCAGAGCGTAAAGATGACGACAGTCAGGAGATCCCACAGATCAGCATTCAGCCACAAAGAAAATGGTCCGCTGGGACTCAAACGCACTGTTAAGCTGCAGGAATCCTGAACTTTAGTTTTTCTTTTACTTTAAGTTCAAGTAGTATGTGTTGTGTTACATCTACTCTGAAGTAAACAAATGCTTTATGTTTCACATTAATGCACAAAAAATGAGGAATTAGTAAATTAATTCTTGGTGTGTCCTTTGTTCAAAGCATTTTTGTTTTGCAAAGGGCTCTGCTTCTGCTTCAACGTACTACTGAAATGAAAAACTGCAGCAGAAATATTTCTCGTGTAAACTTAAAATTCTTCAAATGTTTATGAGGAGGGTATTTTCATTGACTGCAAACAGCGCTGCCAAGTTCCAGGTAGTGTAGGGAGCCTAAGAAATAACTTTTACTTTTGAATCATAGGCCTCAAATGAAAACAATACCCCCTGGCATGCGTGTGGAAAGTTAAGTTATTTTTGCTGATATAGTTCATACATTTAAGTATTTTATATTGTATATTCTCTATAAATGCATAACTTTTCAAAAGTTTTCAACTTGAAATACATTTTTTAATCATGTACAGTTACCAACAACGTCTACAAACAACATCATTATAGTTTAGTTGATTTTTTTTTTCTTTTTCTGTTTTTATTGGACTAATTCACAACACATGCTATCTGAAGGCAATCCAATCAGATAACTCAGTCCATTTAGAGTTTTCTATCTGCAGAATTAAATACTGATATTGAAAATGGAAGAAAAGAGATTGAAAGATGTAAAGAGGTCTCTATGTCCTCCAGCATTCTAACCCTATAGCAGCATAACTTTAGAGATAGCTCAGGATAACCTGAGTTATTCTAGCTATAAGCTCTGTCAAAATGGAAAGTTTTAAGGCTAGTCTTAAAATTAGACAGGCTGTCTGCCTCACAGACTTAAACTGTTAGTTTGCTCCACAGGAGAGGAGTCTGATGAGGTCAGCATCTCATTATACTTTTAGAAATTCTAAGAACCACTATTGAACCTTTACTTTGCTTTGTGAAACAGAGCAACAAAGGGCAATTCAAAATTATTCACATTATTTGACCTTTTGTTCTCTGATACACCAAAATAAAATCCAGTGCAATCAACATGCCTTTCAGAGTCCCCTACAATTAAGTCTATTTAACTGTGTTTTGATCCTAACTAATAATACATTTTTTTGTGAAAGTATCAGTGGTATAAAGACGTTGTATCACAGCAGACTTAAGAGTAAAGTTGTGGAAAAGTTTAAAGTACGAGATTTGGAACGCTGAAAAGCTCACCAAGCACAGTCCAATCCATCATCTAAAAATGAGTTGTGGTAATTGAAAAGACGGGCAGAGCGGGTGTAAACATTTATCACCACAGCATTCAAACAGTCATTGGAAACTCTGGAGCTGTGGGGTCCATCAGCTCAGTTTGAGAAAATCAGTTGACATGACAGCTATTTGTTGTGCATGTCACACCCCCATATGGTAGAGGAAAATAATTCAAAAGAAGCTTTTCAGTTGGCTGCCAACAACACATGGGGCACAGCTAACATATGGATGAGGTTGCTAAAAGATGTTAAAACTGTTAAATGAGATGCATGCAAAGACTAACATTACATACCACCCTTAATGCATCGTGGTTTTATCATGATGCTATTGCACACTTAAACGGTAAAGCTGGTTAACATTGACTCAGAGATGGAGTTAAATTGGAGTTAAATTAGTTATCAGGTTTGCAGAGCTGGTAGAGACATTCCCATAAAATATATACAGCAGCAAGTTTTGCAAAAGGTAATTCGAATAATAGAATATTTGTTAGGAGGGGCTGAATATATAAACAAACCAGACTTTTAGTATAATAAGCTTCTTTATGGTGATATCATTCATAAAATAGTAGAAAGGTTTGTGGTTGTAAACAGACAAAATCAAGTTTAGATCACTGGTTGGCACTGCACATTTTAAATGAATGCTTCTTGTTTGTCAAACATGGTTTCTTCCTTGTTAATCTGTCAGTGTGTAAAATTCTATGAATGTTGAATGAAATTCTCTCCTTGGCATTTATCAAAACCAAAGTGTTGGCAGTCCTAACTGAATTTTATCTAAATCCAACAGCAGTCCAACGTCGATCTGGAGCCCAAGATGTCACTGGCAGAAAGGATGAAAGTCCTGAAAGACAAGGAAGAGCAGTGGAAGAGCAAAGGCAAAGGAGCAGCCAATGACTCAGTTCAGTTCACCGTGGCTGGAAGAATGGCAAAGAAAGGTAGATTTTGTTCAATCATCCTATGTGCAGTTTTGCAGCAGTGTCGGGTTAACTAGTTTGTTTTGCAAAACATTTCTAAATGAAAACTGCAAATCAGCGCTTCCTCCAGGAAAAGGGGGAGAAAAAAAAAAATACAAAGAAAAACAAAATATGACCTGAGCTACTTCCTAATAGCTCAGATCTTTGAAGAACCTGAATAGAAATAACAATCATGTTGTGCTGCACCAGGTCTCGTGTCTAAGGACGAGTCACCTATCATCTCTCTAAAGAAGTCCAGCGCCACACCTGTGAAACCACATGAAGGTATTGTCTGGGACTCTATTTTAACTGCAATGCTTTTGTCTCTTTGAGCCGATATTGGAGATTTAAGGAGGCAGATTGATGTGCCCCAACCTGCCAGGTTAAATCACATATAAATAATTTTAAAAATTTTATTAGAAACCCACACAGTTTAAATTGTCTGGATTAGTTTATGAATCTTGAAAACTCCTACTGAATAACTCTTTTTGTCCACTGGGCAGAAATCTCCACAAGGAGCGACGTCAAAGTGGAGGGGGATAAACGCCTCGACAAGTTGGAGTCCTTCCTTGACAAACTCCACAGTAAAGGTACAATATATCTTTATTTTGAATAACTATGAATATGCTTAAGTGTTTTTTTCACATCAGGGCTCCACATGTGTCACATTTTGCTTGAGATGAATCCCCTTTTTTCATTCTTTTTCTCATATTACCTTGGTTCCTGCACTCTCTGTGACCGCTAGCATAATGTGTTTTAGGGAACTAATGCAAACACACTTCAACCAGCAATGCATGGATTCATGACTTTTGAAATATAACCATCAATAATTAATTCCAAGCAGTTGTTTGTAATATCAAATATGCACACACTGATATTGATTCCCAATGTCATGTGTAGCAGCTCTTATTTTTTATCTACTTTTGCAAAGTACGATTTACTCTTCCTTTATTTAGCAGTTGGGAATATTACAGAAACATTGTCCTAGTCTGGATGGGAATATAAACGCTGTGTTTTATGTTTTTTTTTTTTTTTTTTTTCGTGACCATTATTCCTGTTTGTTTCCTAAATTTCTTCCTGGGTCTTTGGGGGTAAGGTGTGAGCAAAACCAAGTCATCCACCATCGAGGTGACAGCAGAGATGGAGAAAGAAGTGATGACCCTAGATGACGAGGAGACGTTTGGAAACTTCTACAAAACTGTCTCGCCTTCCACTGTTCTGGAGTCCAGCGTGGTTTTGACTGAGGAAGACCTGAGTGAGATCCAGGCAGATACTCCAAAGTTAGTTTAAAAGAATCCCACTTGTTTCTCTCTATTAATCCAGAAGAGCTTATGCAATAACTGCAATATCTTCCTCATCATATGATGAAAGCCTGTGTGGGAAGATATTTACTGCTTTCTTTCAGATCTGAGAATCTGTTATGTTGTAAAAACTCAGTCTTTATCGTCACAAATGTAAAAAAAAAAACATACGTTTTTCTCTTCATAAGCACTGTAAAGTAAAACCATGTTTTCTTTAAGAATATTAGTTTCATGTAGTACTTTTTTGTTGGACTTTGCCTTTAGGCTAACCTCAGCTGTTGCAGAACACAAGCGGGCGGTGCGACCGGCCCGAAGGAACCAAGGTTCCAGAAATCCGCTACGTGCTCTCGCTGCTCGCAACGACATTCGGCAGGTTTACACTGAGCAGAGGCTTAATGTGGCGTCTGTGGAGACCAAGAGGATTCAAGTGGAGAGGAGTAAGATTTCTTATATTCCTCTAAAGTAAATAAGGTGTTTACCTAAAGCAATCTGGTTGATATACTGGATTACAATCCAAACAATGGAGACAATTTCAGACTTGCCTCAGTTGAAGTTGCTTCACATCCAACTTAGAAATAAAAACGTTAAGTAAATAAGTTAAAAGAGAAGATGTACAGGGCTTTGCAGAAGTGTTCACAACCCTTAAACTTTACAACATTTTGATACCCTTAAAAGGAATTAAAAGTTGCTTAATTAGCAAATTTTTAATCTGAGTATAGAATTGGCTTTTCTATGAAGGCTTAAAAGTTTTATTAAAAAATAAAAGACAGGAAACAACATCATGAAGATCAAAGAACACAGTAGGCTGATTGGTTACAAGGTTATGGAGAGGATTAGATGAGGGTTAAAAAAAAAAAAAAAAAGTATACGAAGTTCTTTTTTTTTTTCAATTCATCACCTTAGATTAATGTTTAGACATAACTGCTAACCTGCTAATAAAAATGGACACCAGTTGGGTGTATTTGATGATGTCCTGTCAGCTGCTGGCTGATTTCTGTTGTTTCTCTTTTAGTTTATCTGTAGATATTCTTTAGACTGCACTAACCTCAGCCTCCTTTTCATAGGTTGCATTTGTGGAAGTAGGCATGATTACAACATAAGTGGTGTGAATAGTAGAGCCCTCATGAACAAAGTAATTTTAAAAAGCATGACTGGTCTAACAGAGCCGTGTTAAAAACAACTTGTGTGTTAGATAAACAGAGAGTTGTTTCAATGTATTTTTCTTAGAAATTAAAATCACCTTTTCTCATATTCTTTCCTTTCACACAAAGTGGCGAAGCATTCCAACTTGGCAGACGTGGCTTTGGCTGGGCTCGCCAGCAAGGAAAACTTCCGCAAGGTCAACCTGCGCAGTGTGAAGTCCACGGAGGTCGTTACTAACAACAGTGCGGTGCCTTTTCACAAGCTCATGCTCATTCGCATCAAAGGTCAGAAAACACAACAGAAGTTAAAGTTTGTGTGATCCATGTATAGGAAAAGAATGATGACCCCAACTTAATGTTACGTTCAGACCGCATGCACTAGAGGCAGCAGAAGCAGCTAGTTTATATGCAAAGTCAATGGTTGACGTGCATCAAGGCGCAGCTAAAGGTCCTGCTTGATGAGGGTTTTGAGAAGCAGGAGCAGAGCGTTATTGAGCATCTGACGCACAGGACGCGCTGAAAAATCAGCAATTGCTGGAGTTGGAAAACATTAACTTTTGCTGCTCGCTCAGAGAAGCTGATCTCGGAGCTGGCAGGGAGACAGACGCAGCGCTGCTTATGCAGACCGCTATGATCACTCCTCTGAAACAAAACCTGCCAGGAAAATATGCTTGATTTTATTATTCTGTTGCCTGCAGTTTGGATTACATACATTAAAAAAAGCCTTCCAGCCGCCGCAAACATTAGTGGAAAACAAATTTTAACTAATTAACTTGATAACCTGCAAAGATAAAGTTTTCAGGTGGACTTACTCACTTAAAAACATATTCAAACTACTTTTACCCCCTTAAAACAGCAAATATAACAAAGCCATTCTCTGGCACAGGAGCAGCAGAAGCATCAGACGCATCTGGACACACTTTACTGGATGAACTTCAGGAGCGTCAAAGCTGCTCTTGACGCTCCTATTACCTTAATTTGAACAAGCATTAAAAATGAAGCAGCAGAAGCTTTTAGCTGCTTGCAGCTCTTGCGGTCTGAACATAGCATAAATAGAGAAAGTGGGCGGGTTGTTAATCAAAAATCAAAATGTATTCATTTTCTGTTAAGTCGGTTTTACAGCTAGTTTCATTAAGGGCTCCTCTGGAGTTTGAATACTGGATTTAAGGAATATTTGTGTTTCCAGAAGTTTTTCTTTTGACCTTCAACTCTAATCCTTTATTCCATTCCATCTTTCCTTCCCTGTCCTTTTTTTTCGTTCTGTGTTCCTACTCCACTTTTTAACTTGTTTCTTTCATTTCTTCTTTCCTTTTTTTCTGTCCTAATTTCCAACATCTTGCTTAAATCCCTTCTTTATTTCCTACATTTCATCCTTACTGGTCTTCGTTCCAATGTCTAGTATCTCTCAAAAGAGCATTTAAATCCCTCCCCTTTTGGAAATGAATTCCCATAGATTAATAGACATCTAAATAAACGTGGACGACTGAGAGTTCACGAAAGCAGAATTTAGAAAAAGCTGCGGTTTCCAACGAAAAGCGTTTAGGGACTGTGATTATGTGAGTGAAAGCTTTCATTGTCCGCAGGTCGGAGGCACATCCAGGTGCGATTGGTGGAGCCGACAGCTCGCTCACTGAACAGTGGGGACTGCTTCCTCCTTATAACCCCAAAGAACTGTTTTATGTGGAGCGGAGAATTTGCCAACGTCATTGAGAAAGCAAAGGTACTAACCTTCACACAAAGAATCATAAGCTGTTTAGTTCCTGAAAAGGGGGTTTACAACTTGTATTGACAAGTTTGGACAGGTAACAGCACACCTGATGATTCATCTCTATTACAGAAAACAAAGTCCTTCTGTGGGAAACCTGCTAGACCATTAGGCAAACAAAAATACACATCTTGTTTTCTTTGTATTGCTTTTGTTACTCCTTGATTAGATTTCTGCAGGCTTTTTCTAAAATAGAATGTTATGCTAGTAGCTATTTTATCTTCCTCTTATCATTTCTACAGATGTTAGCATAAGAAAATGCAAAATATGAAAACAGTCTGACTACAACCATAGTGTTTGATTTTTTTTTTTTTTGTTGGATTCTATTTTATAGCCTGCTTTTGTTGCAGACAAGCTACAGAGGAGAATGAAGCAGAGCCAGTCCGATGGCCCTTGTAAATATAGTGTGACTGTCATCAGGTTTAGCATTGCACAACATAAAACCAATATGGTGCAGACTTTAGAATAAAAGTTATTAGTCATTAATAATAAGAGTGATAAGAAATTTAGTATACTTTAAACTTTGATTTCTGAATGAATTTGAAAGCTACAGATGAGGCTCTGCACATTATTTATGCCTTTTTTCAAGATGCTGCAAGTTAGCATGCATGTATTGCACAATTTGAGATGCCTCAGACTGATAGCAGACTGTCTGGCGCTAATCTAGGACAGGATTCTGCTGGATCCATCCTGCTTGGAGCCCTGTCTTCTCATTTGGTAAATCGTCCACTTTTGCACATGTATAATGTGTTATTTATGCTTTATGTTGCCAGGCATCAGAGATGGCGTCTTTTGTTCAGGCCAAACGGGACCTCGGCTGTAAGGCTCCCCAGGTGTCTGTGCTGGAGGAAGGCATAAACACTGAGAGTAGATGGGCCAAAGAGTTCTGGAGCCTGCTTGGAGGAAAGACCAAATACAGAGGTATGAAACCACATGTTAGCCTCAGTGAACACAGACTCTGGTTCAAGTACTGCAATCATGTTACCGTGGGAACTATTACAGGGGCAGGGGATCCAGAGGAGGACGAGCTGTATGAGAGTGGAGTTGTAGACTCTAATGGCGTTTACAGACTCCAGGGAGACAAACTGGTGCCTCATGAGGACGCTTGGGCTTCCATCCCCAGTGTGTCTTTGCTCGATTCTAAAGAGGTAAAATGGTTCACCTGGAGATTAATTTATGATAAATCTGATAAACGATCTGTGGGCAATGTTAGAAATACATAACAGCATCTTCACCAACCAGTTATTGTAATGATCACATTTCCTCTTGATTGGTAATACCTGCATGTCTTCATATGGAAATGATAATTTATTTGGAACAGTTTTGATAAATGTTTATTATTATTTATTATTTTTGTTTACCATTTTCTGATTTTACGAGTGAAACCAGACATTTATTCACACCCAATGCTCTTTTTTCGGGTATTCATCCTGAATAGTTTGTTGGTGTTTTTGAGTCATTTCTGAAATTCTCGCCCTGATACATTTGATGATGCATCTTCATCTTTACATCACTTTACATAAAGAATTGGATGTGTTTAAGGTGTTACCTTGAATTATAAAAGTCTTGACATCATACTTTTTTCATGTAAGCTTTTGATTTTGAATTAACTTTCGATCAAGCTTAAATATTGGGACCTCATATATGGCACCTTTTACTTTAAGTCTTCCCCATTGCTTTCTCTTAATTTCCTGTTTATTTACTATTAATAATAGACTCAAAATTAGGAAACATGCAGCTTCACCTATAAATGCATCAGTCAAACTGCCTAATATTTACATAAATCTCATAGTTATGTGCTTTGACGCATAAACAGACAGATTTCTGAGGAGATCACAAATCAAAATCAGCGAGTAGAAGCCAGATTGGTGCACCTCTATCTGCTGAACATCTACAAATCACTGATTTACAATGGTTCCTGCATTAATGTGTTTTTGTAAGTTGCTGAATTTATTTTCCCAACATGCTTTCTCCTGTTATCACATGCTAGGTATTAGTATTTGACTTTGGCAGCGAAGTGTATGTATGGCATGGAAAAGATGTGCCCTTGGGTGACAGAAAAGTAGCAGTCAAACTGGGCAAACAACTCTACAGTGGCAGCTACGACTACAGCAGCTGCAGGGTCAACCCCCTAGATGCCTCCTGCACAAACAAGGATGTGCCTCAGTGAGTATGAGAAATGAATAATAACACAGCATTTTTTTCTTTTATATGGTACCATTAGCCATCCTGTAATAATGTTTTTTTTTTACATTGCATAAATATAGAGAAATTGCTAAAATAGTATTTATTGGGTTTTTGCAGCCCCCTAGTGGTGTGACAGCTTCAGTACAGCTGAGCACAGAGTTGAATGTCTGTAAGTGCGCTTGTGTTTGACCTGCAGGAAGGGGGAAGGACGTCCGAGCTGGACTCTGTTTGGCCGGCTGTCCGAGCACAATGAGACGTCTCTGTTCAGGGAGAAGTTCCTCGACTGGGCTGAGAGGAAGAAAGAGGAAGCTGCTCAAACAGAGGAAATAAAGGTAGGGAAGAGTCAAACTGACTTTTTTTATACGTTAAACCCATCACCAGTGAATGCTGTCATAAAGCAGTTCAGAGTCATTCCTGTTTTCATGGTTTGTTTTCTTTTGTGGCCTGTTCACCTGTACAACTCAGCTGGTACACTAGAAATCCGATCTACAAATAAGTAAAGATTTCTTAAATTAAGTGTATTTAGCCTTAATTTGAGTCGACAAATAAGACTATTTACAAATGGAATGACTATTTTCACTCTTAAAATATGACAATTAGATAATATGCACTTGAAATAAGACAATGCAATTGTTCTTATTTTAAATGTAAATTGTCTTGTTCCATTGGCAAAGTGTCTTACTTACCTCCTCAATTCAAGAACAAATGCACTTATCTTAAGAAAAAAATACCTTTTTAAATTTTCTTTTTTTTCAGTGTAGATTTATTCATTCAGTTAAATAGGTACAACTCAAGCATTTCAAAAATGATGCTTCAGATGGCTCTGCAGGAAAAAATCTGTGGTGGATAATCCAGGTCCAGAAAGTGCTTTGTTTTCCTTCATCCTGTTCACTTAACACCACATTTAGCCCTTTAGGTGAGGTGAGTATGTGTTGTGGAGCTGGAAATGCAAATGGTTGGAATGATCTCGTTATAGGCTGTTTACTCTCTGGAAGTGGATTAACCACCCCTGGAAAAAATGAACAATTTCCTGATACATATTTAACAAAATATAAGCTTGTTTTTTAAACTGTTCTGTTAACTCTATGAAATGACTGTTCAGATATCCTATTTGCAGTTTACTTTTAGTTTTTGTTACATCGCAACTTCAAAGTGATGAGTAGTAATAAGAAATGCCCACCAGTCTGTTCTTGGGATAACTAATATAATAACAACTTATAGAATAGTCTTATTGTCCCTCAGTGGGGAAATTCTTATCAAGCAAAATTACTTCTTAATGGAAGAAAGGCAAGACAACATAAGAAAATAATAAAAGAAAACACAGTTAAGTTGGAATAATCATTCGGAAATCCTTATCCACTATGTGACAGTGGTGGCAGCCTTACGCTGTGAGGATCAGCTTTTCTGCAGCTTGAAATGGAAACCTGATTGGAGTAGATTGAAGTGGTTGGAACAGGATTATATTATAATATTTTTAAAAATATAAGGAAAATATTATCATAAAACATAAGGACTATCTCTCTATTTAAGGTTTTGCTACCAAAGATAAAGTTCATGATTATGGTTACTAGAGTTTAAAGGCAAAAAGATCCATTCTAGATTTAGAAACAGCAAAAAAAAGAAAAGTTTTTTTCTTGTTGTAGAACTATTTTCCAGCACTCTTTTAAATGTGTAAAGTAGCAAAAACAGAACTGACATTTGACTTTTTTTTTTTTTATGTTCTCGTTTCTTCAGAGTCCAGAACACTTTGCCCCACGCTCCCCTTTCGACTTGGAACTACAACCATGTGATGCCAAAGCCCTGCTGGACAACGAAGCAGAGCCGGTGAAGACCGTTCTGGAAGGAGTGAATGTGCAGCGCGGTTACGGCCTGGTGAGGAACGAGGATGGAAGGCAGGCAGAGCTGGCCACTGTTGCAGTGGAAGCTTGGCACATTAAGGAGCATGGAGAGGAGGAAGTGCCTGAGGAGAGCGTCGGCCAGCTTCATGAAGGCGACGCCTACATCATCCGCTGGAAATACTCCGTCACAACACTTGGTGAGTCATGTTAAAAGAACTGCATTTAGCAGATGATGAACCTGGAAACGGGAGCAGGGCCACTGATTCATTCGATGTCTCTCACCGTGGATTTGCTCGATCACATCAGTGGGGAAACGACAGAAACCCGGAGAGCTAAGTGCAGCCGCTCCTGGCAGAGAGAGGATTGCTTGTTTTTTCTGGCAAGGTCGTCACTCCAGCGCCAGTGAAAAAGGAACGTCAGCTCTGATGACCGTGGAGCTGGGCAGCCACCGGGGGTCACAGGTGGGCTTAGGTCATCATAAAGTCACTATCAATTAAAACATTTTCTACATTTCAATTTCAACTGGCAAGGATCCAAATCCTGGAAAATTTAGTGAAATATTTACTTCGCTGAAAGTTGCATCCTTCCTTCTCTTTGTTTCTCCTTTGCAGGTGTTGGTGACTCAAGGTAAAGAGCCTCCATGCTTCCTGCAGCTCTTCCAGGGAGGTTTGGTTATCCATAAAGGCAGCAGAGACCACAACTCCAACAGCGCAGGTATAAAGATGGAGGGAGGGAGGGATGGGTTCTAGGATATTAGCTCTAGGATATTATCTCGGTATATTGGCTCAAAGAAAAGTGACAGAAATTACACAACTTTTATTTTTAGACTTTGTTTACTGCAAAAACAATCTAGAAATAAGTAAAAATGTCTTAAGTGTATTTACCCTTAATTTAAGTAAATAAGATGATTTGCCAATGGAATGAGATTTTTTCTCTTAAAATAAGATAATTGGATAATATGCAGTCAAAATAAGACAATGCAATTGTTTTTTTCTTTAAAAGCACATTTTCTTGTTCCATTGGCGCTTACCTCCTAAGTTCAAGAAAAACTGTACTTATTTCAAGAAGAAAATTACTTTTCAAGATTCACATTTTTTGCAGTTTTCCCATTGTTTAAATATTGTGCGTCTCTTATTTTCATATATTTGCTTCCTTACGATTTGTGTTATTGCTTCTATCTTTGTCTTTCAGTTTTATTACTAATGTCCTTTCCTAGTGCCCTTACTTTCCTCAATCTCTGCTGTCAGCATTTTCACTATTCTTTCTTTCCTTATCTTGTTTATTGATCTTTTTTTGTGCAAATTCTTCCTTTCCTTCATCTTTCCTTTCCTCCTCCCTCAGATCCATCCCTCCTTCTTGTGCCCACACTTTCTTGCTACTTTCTTTCCATTCCTTGTTTACTTTCCTTTTTTATTTTTTTTATTCCAATCTGTTTTTCTGCATAGTCCATGTTTTCAGCCCTCCTTTTGTAGCTTTTTTGGGACCTTTGTCTTTTATGTATCATAATTTAACATATAGACTGTTGGATTGCAATACAAGTTTGTTTTTTGTTTTTTTATATAACACATTTCAGTAACAAGACTGCAACACTTACATGTTAGAAGCAAACATGGAACACCCACAGACAAAGGTTGTGGTCTGCATGACATCGCTGCTCTGTTTCCAGACAGTTGGAGGTTGTTTTGTGTCCGCGGTGAAGCAGAGGTGGAGGCCTCCCTGTTGGAGGTGGCGTGTGAGCGAGCCAGTCTGCGTTCTCGTGCCAGCCTGGTGCTACTTAACGCTCAGAAAGGTTTTCTCTTCTTGTGGCATGGTTGCAAAGCACATGCAGATGCCAGGAAGGTGGCCAACAGAGCAGTAGACAAACTCAAGCTAAGGTAAGATTCTGGGTTAAAATACAGCTAATTTAAAGGGTTCCAAATCCCTTTATATTAATGTGTGTTTTAACTAAAAACCTTAACTAATTCTACAATGTAGAACTGTTGTTTATTCTGTAGGGTACTCACAGATTCTTTGTTTCTTAAGGTGTCCCTCAGAGTTGGGACTAAACAGCAGCAGTAATTTGAAGGTGGACGAGGTGGAGGAAGGTTCTGAACCTTCAGAGTTTTTGAAGGCGTTAGGGCCGCAGGACAAGAAAGCTTACGACTGTATGCTGCAAGGTAGGATCTGTTGGGCAACTGAACGGCTTTAGGAAATGTACTAAGTGGAAGGAAGTGATCATCAGTGAGGGTGTGTTTGTTGTCAAGATCCTGGAAAGTACAACTACACGCCCCGCCTCTTCCGACTGAGTGCCAGCTCGGGGTTCTTTGAAGGGGAGGAGCAGCTGTATCCTGCCAGGGTGACAGAGGGAGTCATGGCCATGCCTTTCCTGCAGGAGAACCTCTACTCTGCACAGCAGCCAGGTAACAATCAACCAGCTGCACTAACAGATGAGTTTCCACATTTTACAATAATATAAACAAGTCTAAGAAAATAAATAGGTCCATCTTCAAGGCTAAAGCATATTTTTCCACTTTGATGAATCTGGTCTAACAGATCATCTCTTTTTTTTCTGGTGGTTCTTTTTCCTCATTAGTGTTTCTAGAAACGTTCTGGAACAAACTGGTTTGGTCACAGGCCTTCACTATGGAGGAATATTTATAAGAAAACCCGAACAATTCACAGATGGAAAAATTACAGTACATGATTTTATATATTTGATTCCTAGTCAGTCCCAGTCTGAGTAAAACCTTTGCAGCAGCTTGTCTGCTCCCTCTGGTCTGCATCTCATCCGTCTCCTCACTCCTTCATCAGCCTTGTTCCTTCTGGACAACCGGATGGAGGTGTATCTGTGGCAGGGCTGGCAGCCTGACGACACGCAGTGCACTGGATCCGCAAAGATGCGCTGGGACAGTGAGAGGAAGTGCGCCATGGAGACCGTGCTGAAATACTGCAAAGGTTAAAGACCACACAATTACTCTGCATATGCAAAAGTCCAGTTCCTTTAATAAAAGGATAGAAAATAGGAGGAATATACATAATCTTTGAGCTTAATAATAGAATAAGACAAAGTAGAATTGAATGGAATAACATTTTGTGTGTGTATATATATATATATATATATATATATATATATATATATATATATACATATACATACACAATATAATTTTATTTTTTTTTTACAGAGAAGAATCCTCGGCGCCCCCCTCTGGCCTACCTGGTCCTCGCAGGCTTAGAGCCTCTGACATTCACAAACATCTTCCCATACTGGGAGAAGAACACCAGCATCACATCTAAGGTGACTTAAGCTACTTCTTTATTATCGATTGTTGTATCTGAATGTTTTATATCAAATGTTTGTGTTTCCAAAATTCAATTCAGGCTGGAAGCTCCAAGACCAAAGTGATCCTGGTGAAGGAGGCGCTCTCCAAACTAAATAAGGAGCAGTACTCCATCGAGGAGCTGACCAGGAAGCCTCTTCCAGAGGGAGTGGATCCTTTGCGGCTGGAGGACTACCTATCAGACCAGGACTTCAAGGTGACACCCTCTCACTCCAGGTAATGATTGACTAAAAACAGAACCGTGTGCTTACATCTGTGTGTCCTTTTTGTTTTCCTACAGACGCTTTTTGAGATGAGTCGGGTTGAGTTTAATGCCCTGCCAAACTGGAAGCAGAAGAACCTGAAGAAGAGCAAAGGTTTATTTTAAAAACATGCTGTACACAGATCCTATGTTTTATTTTTTAATACTCTGCAGCTCTTATTACTTTTTTTTTCACTTTAAGAAAAAAAAAATCCTCATTTGTAAAGACTAAAAAAATGTAAATGTACATTTATGTTATGTTTTAAGTTTTATCGGGTTTAAGTAACTGCCATTTTTTTTATGGTATTCAATCTCTGAGACATTTTAATCAAACATTATGTGCAATTAATCTTTCCTTTCACACTATATGTGAGATACTGTTGATGTTTATGTTTACTTGGACTTGTCTGTTATTTTTATTTTAAACCATTTCTCCATTTAAACAAGAAAAGCAGCCTCAGTCAATGGGAGACAAGACTGTTCTTTAACAACCTAACATTTTTGCTTAAATATTTCTGTACTCCATATCTGCAGAAAACCAATTATATTCCATCACAAGTATTATTTGGTACTGTATACAAACCCTTTAACTGGGCCCTTCTCTGCCCCCTCCTGGTTGTATGGGACCAAATCTTAAGCCGCCTGTCTTTATATACCGATTGTCTTTTGTGCGAGTGTGTGTTTACGTTTGGGTAAATGCTAAACCTGAAAAGCATTGCGTGCGTCTCTGTGTGTGTATGAGAACTGCTGCATAAAGGGCCTGTGTAAGAAAACTATTGTTTAGTTAAAATGCCACTTTTAAATATGTCTAGATTTGGACATTTTCCATAATCATGTTTTCAGTCTTGGTAACCTGCATCTTGTTTGTGATAAAATGGAACCATATTATCGGTGAAGTCAGGTTTGGGAATGAGATGATCAGTATTCCTTTTAAAATAAAATGAAAATATAAATGTGTGGTTTTGACTTTTTTTATGTGATTAAGAATAAGTAACATTAGCTAGATCAAGTTATCACAATTATCAACTCATTTTACTTGCAAAAGGAAGTTTGTTATTCGTATTCATCAAAACAATGCATCAACAACTTTACCCCAGTTGCTTGTTTGTTGCATGATTTTGCTGAATAACTACAAAACGCAGATTATTTTTGGTAAAATATCAAGCTGGCCTTGCTATTTTATATCCTTGTGAAGAGTTTCTGCTAACTCAGAAGTTTAAAGACCTTCAGAGCTGGAATTGCTGTTTTTTTTTCTGCAGAATCCGAGTGAAGATGAGTTTAAGTTCACAATCTGATGGCTGGATTTGCTTCCACTGGATTTTCTCTCATAGACAATAAGTCATGGTTCCATCAATAGTAGGTCATCCTGGTTCTAAAACAATACAGTCCATGACCATCACACTGCCCTTATCTGCTTGCTTGTTGGCATTTATTTTGTCATTTATGAAAATGTATAAAATTACATAATATTACACTACCTGATCTAGAAGATATTTTATAGGACTTTCTCTGTCTTCTTATTAGTCAGACCAAAACAACAACAAAAACAGCTACAGGCTCTTGTTACAGTGTTTAAACCAGTTGTAGTGACCTGGGGGTAGACATTAACTGAATATATAAGACCAATTTTAATTTTACTTATAGAAAATAATTTAGAGCAATGTTGATTTATTATAGATTATAGGTTATGTTAACGTAATATGATTTACAGCAGTTGACTTGTCTTTGGAGGCTGCATGGTGGAGCAGTGGATAGCGCTGTTTCCTAGCAGCAAGAATGTCCTGGGTTTGATTCATGGCCATTCCATTTTCTCTTTTAATCGGCGTCTCTAAATTGTCCTTAGGTGTGTCTGTGTGTGTGCATGGTTGTGTGTCTTTGTGATTCCCTGCGACAGACCGTCAACCCGTCCAGGGTGTACCCCAACTTTTCCCTGTTGGCTGCAGTAGCCGCCGGCCCCAGCATGATCCTAACAACGACTAAGCGGGAGAAAATGGACGGGTGGACTTTTCCACCAAGAAAAGTTTGGAAACCCCTAGTTTCAACCATCAGCATTAAAACTAGCATAATATATACAGCATATATATAAAAACAGCATGAACTAAGCATGGGTTAAATAGGTAATGCAGGGTTGGTTTATCATACATGTAGGTGGTTTGGACCAATTGGTGGTTTGCCCAATTGGAATTTAATTACACTTTATCATGTCTCCAATTACTTTTAGGCTGTTTAAGGAAAAGGTGGTAATCTCCTTTAAAAGTTTTTTTTTTAGAATTTAACATGTTTAGAAATTAGGTTTTTTCTTTTTTAATGGCTGTATTTCTATTAATAGAAATCAATCTACTTCCAGATATTTCCAAAGGCAATGCAAGGATTCATCTTGCAGGAGGTGTCGTTGTTTGGAGCTGCTCAGATTTCAAGTAATTCTTTAAACGCTGTAAACCGTAACATGAAAGCTTTTGGCAGGAAAACAATCTGAGCTGAGATTTAATCATGTCGAATGTACAGAAACCTTTTTTCAAAAAAGTTAATACATAATGCTATCTGTCTGTTAGCCACTAGAGGGTGGTGTTTGTTTAACTTTTAAACCTGAAACTTTCACTTTTAAATCTTTGTAATCCACCACCCCCTCCCCTCCAAAAATAAGTATCTCTCTACCATAATAAAATAAAAGGCTAGAGTTTACATTTTAATAACAACTGCTGATTAAATAACCGAGGTCCTGCTGGCCTCATGCATTGCAATAGCTGTTTTAAATAACACCTGGTTTAGTTAGGAATTCATGTGTTCATGCAGCTCCTCTGTTTTTTTTACACTGCTTATGTACTCATGATTTAAAATATGCTTATTTAAAAATCAAAAATCTCTTTTTTCTCTGTGTCCTCATGTCCTATTGATGAAGACAAGCGTGCAGAGGCAAAGATATTACCACAACAGATGGCATGAGCCAGTCTCTGCTTCCTCAGTACAGCAACTGGGACGCCTGTTTGTTTGTTTATCATGTATCAACTCTGCCCTGCCAGGATTAATCACAAGCATCTCTCTGCCTTCTGGCTCAGGTGCCGCAACATCCCCGCGGTGTGGCCTACATGCAGGGAGACAACGAAGATGTTAATATAAGGCACATTAGCTGGAGTGGTTTAGTGTTGGGCAAACAGCAACCAGGGAATGAATATTCAGCTTGTTCCATTAGGATCTAAATCCTGACTGAACACAAGCCAGAAGAGTTCCTGGATATAGACTGTACCAAACCACTTTTTAAGAATTAATACAGCCATCTGTCATCTTTTTTCAAAAACATTCTTAAGGGAATCTTTAATTCAAAACTTTACAATTATGTGTTGGAGAGCACATTTTTTGGTGCCCTACAGTAAGTAACTTTCGACTGAAAACAATGCAAAAATGTCACACACATGAAAGTTTTTCAGTGAATGTTTGAGATTCATGGTGGATTTAATGCATTTTAAAACAAAAATTAAAATATCAGTGCTTTACTTCTTTTTTTTAACCTCAGATAGAACCTTGCTTTGTCCATTTTCACTCATTTTGCTAGTATTTTACATCTAATTCCAGTTTTTAAAGTCTTAAGGTCTTTCAAATTGTGAGGACTATTGTCATGAAAATATATCTAAAAGCAAGGAGAGTAGTTTTTTATTTTTTTTTATTTAAACTTTTTAAGCAATGGTTACAGTATGTCTCCTGAGTGACTACCAGTGGAACAATCTGTTACAAAGGAAATGTGGAACTGATGGACCATAACCTAATGAATACTGGCAGCTGGAATGAACATCATCTTTTCAAGGTTTCACCTGTGAGTGGGTAGGATGCATTAGACAGCAAATAAACATTTTGTCTCTAAAACTTTTGTGTTTGAAAGTAGGACTATTTGCCAAGAGTAAAGATTGGAGTAAAACAGACAAAGGTATATACCCATGGGTAGCTGGCTGGTTTACCTTGGTTAAAGGTTCCATTTTGTCTTGTTCTGTTCAAAGGATATTCTTCTAGAAGCATTGTCGCATTTTAACATATTGTTTTGTAAATTCCAGTCTGGCCTTTTTTTCCATGTTATGTTTTCAATAATGGTGTACCTTTTGGTTGTCTCCCATTAAGTCCACTTTGGCTCAAAAAATAATGGATGATGTGATCCAACTCTGATGTCCCTTGAACTTTAAACTCTTTGGAAGTTTTTCAGGGGTGTTTTGTGACCTTTCTGAATAATATGTGCAAATCTAATCACTGCTTGAAGGTGGTCTTAAAGCCTTTACATTTAACCTACTTGTCCATAATTTTGTTTCTAATCTTCTAAGACCTAGATTCAGGTGTGTTGAACTTGGGACACTTCAAAAACCAGTAGGGAACAAGTCTTCAGAACTGGGACTTTTCCCCCTTCCGAAGAGTTTAAATGAAAGTTCCAATATTCAGATTTTGAGGTCAGAGCTTGGCTTAAACAGCAAGCCATCATCTACCTATCATTCTTTTATCAAGACTTCAGCCTAATGGTGGTGGTATACAAGGGGTGTTGGATATTTTCCTGCCCTCAATTGTACAAATGACATTATCTTTGTTTGATATTCTTCTTGAATCCCAAAGACTCAGTACTTTTAGAGGGCCAGTTCTTCTGGAACTCACACTGTGGATGTATTAATTAGTATTAGTAAGTATTAATCTTCATATAGTAATCTACTGGTGATAATTATAGAAATTAATCTATGTTTGGTAACCATTAAACCTAGACCATTTGTATAATGCTATCATGAATACCAGTTTGGTGCAAGAGTTTTAGACTCAGGCTAAATGGGACCTTTTTAATTACAGTCTTTGTAAAACGTTTATATATATAAAGCCACAACCAACCAAACACTATCATTATGAACTGGGCAAATAAAGTTTTGTATTTGCAACTTTTACATAAGTCCCCGCTAATAGCTTGGCCAAATGGACTCATTTTGTTTACCATGCTTGAATAGCTCATTTTCTACTGTGTACAGTGTGAATTTAGACTTCTGTCACAGTGTGACTGCCAGAAATCCAAAAGGACCTGGGTCTCATCCCAGAAAGAAACAACAGCACTGAACATTTGTAAGGTTTAAAGGCTGGTTCCACCATGCTGATTTTTGATTTCCGGTTCAGCAGTTTTCTCACTATGTGAAACCTGTCTCTGCAGTTCCAAGGTTTTTAAATTTTCCTTTAAAATTTTCCTGATAATTATCCAAATAAGTAAAAAAAAAATCCATTATTAAACAGCAGAATCTAGTATCAGCTGTATAAAAAAAAGAATCACTTTATTCCAACACACTGCAATGCAAACTGCTTTTTCTTTAAAATCGGGATATACTGTATATAGCACTGCATTATTGTTGGTTTGATAGAAAGGTAAAAAGAAATGGTTGAGGGGCATTTAAGGCCTTGAAAAAAGCAATTTCACAACCTGAAAGAAGCAGTTGGTATTGAGCCAAAGGAATCTTGCAACAACCTTCGCTGCTTACACGTCTTTTAGTGTGTTTGCACTGAAGATAGTGGGTAAGGGATAGTGTTTCTCATTGATGTTTCCCCTCTGGCATACCTCCCAGTAGTGGTCTGACCTTTTATCCCTGCTGGCAACATGAATTTTCAGCTAGTTCTCACAGACCTTTGAACAATTACAGCAGGAAAAAGTCACTATGCTCTTCCACACATATTCACCTGAAGATCCACTAATATTAGAGGTAACTACCATTCAGGGATGGGCAGTATTTCTAATACAAGTATTTCAAATACGTATTTCAAATACAAAATACTATTTTGTCATTTGTATTTTACTGAGATGATGAAAATACCTTCATATTTTATATCAAAGAACTACAGGGTTGTGTATTTTTGTATTTTCAAAATCATGTAAAATACTCTCTTTCATACACAGTCTGTGATGACATATAACTATCTATAAAGTATAAAATAGTGTCTGTG